ACACAATCACATTCCAGCCCCACTCTCTTTGGCTGCCAGGTTACATCGATGTGGTGCAAACTGTTCTTACAGTAATGATGGCTGGACTTTTTCCGGACAGACCTCGTATGTACAGTTCGATGTCAATTTTAAGTTAATACAGCTTTTTTTTAAAAAAAAAATCTGCCTTTCATCCATAGAACTGTAAGTAATCAAGATTAAAGAGCTCTTTACATAGGTTGTCCTTTGTATGTGGAAATAAATAGCTATTAATTATACTGTGACCGGAACAATTAAAAAAATCTTACTAGGAATGTCTGCCAACCTTGATGAGATGTGACAGTTTGTTACTAACAATATGGAAAAGGCTCAATGAAATACTTTCCCTGAAAGCCTTCACTTTTTCAGGGAGAAATCAATTGACACTCTGCCCCACCAGTTTTTCAGCTTTGTTTATCTGTAGTTTTAATTTTTATGTATCATTGTCTTCCAGGATACAAATGAAACGTTACTCTTTTATGGGAAGACCTAACCCGGGCTCAAGATGATTTCAAAATACACAAATGTAGTACAGATAGGAGTTTGAGTTTCCTGTTCTTTTCTGTGGAGATGTTTTTGTTTTTGCTGAAGTTGTAATTGATAGTTACTAGTTACCGAGGAAACCAAATCAGTATATAGGAAGCAAGTGACAGAATAAAATTAGTATATAACTATATATATGTGAAATGTCCAAATGTTACCAGGTTCTCCAAATTCCCTATTGAGAAGCTAGAATAACTAAAAAACTTTTTTAAAAAATTTACTTATTACGTGTGAAGGAAAGGGAAGGAAAAAATCAAAAGACTACACAAATCATTGAAACACCTACTAGATTGTAGAGCTTTATTTACTTAAAAGGAACTAACTATAGAACACGGAGTATTAAAAAGCATTATTTTTATGCCATTATTCCTTAAGAACCTAGCCATTACATTTATTAGAATGCTTTATCTTTTCTTTAAAATTTAAATTTAATCTCTAAACAGTCTTAATTGCTATGAATATTTTACCACCATTAGCAAAGGGTGAATCTTCGTGACTTTTTTTAATGTAGTTTTTGTTTTCATCAGACACACACACACACACACACACACACACACACACACACACACACAGAGTTCCAAAAGTCCAGGAATTTTGTATGCACTGCCAGGAGTTGCAGGGAACTTTTTTTTTTTTATATATGCCTCAGTGGTTGTATCACAATTAGTGTGACTTTGTGAAGATTGTTGATACTGGAGCCATATGGTATATGCTTAGTACTTTTTCATTCCAACATTATGTTTTCCCGGGAGTTACATGTCTCTTTTTGCTTGTTGTTGTTGTTTTTTTGTTTTTGTTTTTGTTTTTGTTTTTGTTTTGTTTTTTTTTTTTGCTCAGGGACAAGTGGTTACAAAAAGGCTTCACCCCTAAGGCTTTCCCTAGGTGTCTACCACTCCCCTCGTTGAGAAGTGTCCAGTATCCTTTGGTTTCGGCCCTGGAGCTGTGGTTCTGCTCCGACCTGGACTCACGTTCTTCAGCCCTGCACGCACTTCTCATCATGGAGTCCCTTTTCATCATCACCCAGAGGTTCCTTCCTCCCTCCTGGCTCTGGTCCTGTGTTCTTGGACCTTAAGTCGTCTTTTGTCTTAAGTTAGTCATGGTTTAGTGGTTTATCTGGTGGTTTCTTAGAAAGGGTATATGGGAGGTACAGTTGATGAAACTCTCATGTCTGGAGGTGCATTTATCTGTTCACCCTGACATTGAGAATACAATTCCAAATTGGGCACCATTTTTCTTAGGACTTTGAAAGCACTGCTTATTGACTGTCTTGCAGTGTTGCTGTTGGGAATCGGAAATCTGTTTTGGTTCCTGATCCTGCACTGTGACCTGTTTTATAGTCTCTAGCAGTTTTAAGGATTTTCTTAGTCCCAAGTGTTTGCGTATTTCAGAGACGTGCTTGGGTGTATTTCTGTAGTCGTCATATGCTGAGGTACAGGGGGCCCTTTACTCTAAAAACTCTCATCCATTAATTTGGGGACTTTTTCTTGAATCAGTCCTTTTGATTTCCTCTGCTTGATTTTTCTGTTTTCTTGTTTCGGAACTGTTGTCTGCATTGCATGTTGGGCCTCAAGAATGATCCTTAGGGTTTTTTGTTGGGTTTTGTCCCCCCTCTATTTTCTTTCCCTTTGATTTTTTTTCTTTTCTTATCTACTTTATGGAAGATGACCTCATCTTCCATCTTTTCAGTCACATTCATTTCACTTTTGGTATCCTATTTTTAACTTCAAGGAACACTTGTTCTGTGACAACTCTTTTTTCATAGCATCTTGTTCTTGATTATGCCTTGTTAGTTCACTGAGAATATTAATGATAGTTTTAATTGTAAAGTTTCCTTCTCCATGCATGGTCTGTGCTTCCCCCAGGCTGCCTTGTAGTGTGTCGCTGCTTTGCCCATCTTTGCGGTTGGTTTGGGACCCCCTGCAGCCTGGCCGGTAGGTGTGGTGGCTCTGGGTCTCCCGCTCACCATAGGGTGTGGCATGAGCAGTGTGCAGGGGCCTCTGGCTCGGTGGATTCCTGTGGAAGGTGAAGAAAATGTCGCTCCACATTTTGGAATATGATGCTGTGTGGAAAAACACGATTGAGGTGCAAAGTGAGTCAGAGTTATACTCTTGAGTGTGAAGAGATCCTAAATATGTATCTATTTTGTGCATATTTTGCTTTTTGTATAGGCTTAAGATGTGTTAGAGCTGTCTCAGTAAGGTCAAGTAGCTCTCTGATTAAGTGGTAGGAAAATAGTGTGCCATAATTTGATTGGCCACATGTTTTCATGGTACATAAAGTAATGCGGTTGATTACAGTTTATGCCACCTTGGGATTTGACAGGGCATGCATCTCTAGCATGTGGCAGGACGTGAGCCTTTTCTCTTGTATCCATGCCCCTCTGTGGCCTGTCACTTCACTGGTGCAGGGGAGTGGGCGGGCAAGTGAGGCAGGAGCAGAGGACGTGAGGGTGAGACAACCCTGCATCATCTGCAGCGCTGCTTAACTCAGCCTGGAGGTGAGCTCGTGTTTCCAGGCCTTGGTTTCCTATCTGCCTTCAGCTGAAATACCAACTCCATTTGGAAGTAAAAGAAAAACATATCAGTAGCAGACAACCTAGGATAGTTGTACTTACTTAAAGTACACCGTTGTTGGGGGTGAAGATTGTTGATTCAACATGAAGTGGTCTGTCCATGCTGCCCTTACTGTCTGGGTGTTGGCTTTCATGGTTTCGGGTTAGGATGCATTCATGGGCTGTGAATGTGGAAGGAAAGAGAGAAAAGATTCAAACTAGAAACATTATTAGGAAAAGATAAGTATTCCACATCACAGAAGACGTCAACAGTGCTTTAAATCAAACATCTAATGAATAGAAAGTTTTCATCTTCAATCATAGAAGTTACTTGAGTTTATGAGGGTCACAGCTTGCCCCCCACCCACCCACCACCACCAAACTTCTTTTTAATGTTGTTACAAGATTTGATTATTTTAGACAAAACTATTTGGGTGTTTTCATTTTAGTATAGGTAGATTTTAGATGGCAAGGCAAGTTTGTTCAAAGAATGCCAATGCTTGCCTTGCTGGTGAATTCCTGTAGGTGTTGGGAATTCACAAAGAAGATGGCCTTTTTCCACAGTTAGCTTATATTTAACACGATCTTGATGAAACAAATGGCTTAGTAATTTTTGTGTGGTGTGACAAGTACTGAAATAGAAAGAGACTTATGTGGATTTCAGCGGACAAGAGGGGAGACGGCAGTCCTTCCAGGCCACGGGGGGCCCTCAGCACACACGATGGGGGCGGGAGGGGCTTTTGATATCTCCAGGCTCTGTTTGCACTAAACCAGTGTGAATGTAATGCTTTCTTTTTGGTAACAAAATGCAATACATTTGGTCATTTTATTTCCTGATTTGAAATTGTCCAGTAGCTTCTTTTGGATTTTAGGGTAAAGTTCCTATTTCATGGTTGAACCTTTCTTGTTCTGGCCCCTTCCTCCCTTTCACTGCATTCTGTCCCCTTTGTTTGTCTCATTCCTTTAGGAGGCTTCCTGCTTGCCCATTTGAATTTAGCTCATGCTTTTCTCAAGCAGAAAAGCCCTCTGATGATGTTCGTAGGTGCCATCTCCCATTCCATTTGTGTTCACCCAGCACCTCAGGGGGAAACAGTGTGAGACACGCGGAGGGAAAGCTGAAGAAAAAGACCCAGCCTTCTTCCCCAGGGAGTTTAGTCTCTTTGGGAAGGCTGAGATTTATGAAGAAGTGAAATAAAACTACCCATTGTCATAAACATTTCCAGGCAAGGAGAAACAGACATATGTATAGTCAGGCCTTTGGCATACCAGGCATTGTAGAGTTTCTTCCAGAAAGCCCTTCTTCTGAGGTTTTCTCCCAGAATTCTTTCTGCACTGATTCCCCCCCACCCCCACCCCGCCCAGGGGAGATTTTCTCTGTTGTTTAGTAATCGATGGCCTGGCCTATTGTCATGGATTTACTCCCATGGGGCCCCCAGTTCTGTGAGATTCCTGAGGGCAGGGGCACATAGAAGCACCTACTGTGTGGATGCATGGGCTGATTTCTGGTAACTTCTTGATTTGCATCCAAAGTTGTGTACACTGACCTAAGAAACGGAGGTCCTCTTGAGGGCAGTGTGTATGGACATCACAAGTCGTAATTGCCGGTGACCTGTTAGAACTTTTAGAAGCAAACCGTAGACTCCATGCCTGAGTAATTTGGTAATATTTGAATAACTGCACAAAACACAAAGTTAAGCTTTGGACCTGAGTGAGTGCTCTTTCTCTAACAAGTTAAGGGATGTATAAATGTTCCATTCACAAGATGCACAGCACACTAGGGCCTATTGTGTTCATGGCACCTGCGCCAGCAAGAATGCCTGGACAAGCGTGCTGTGGATTACGTATGTGGTGTCTGTTTTTAAGGTTTGTTTGTTTGTTTGTTTTTAAGGTCTTGTGGTCTGACTCTTCAATAACATCTGTAACCAAATCTTCCTCTGAAGTGACTGAATTTATTTCAAAGGTAAGGTGATGAAGGGCTCTTCTGAAAATGAGAAGGCTCTTGTTCCCTGTGCTTGGTAATACAGCAGAGTAATTTCAGTGGATGGCTCTGTTCAGCTGGCATAGTGAGTGCAGTGCCTGGAATGCGTGCCTGTCCACAGGAGGTCCAAGGTCTGCGTCTGACAGTGCGCAGCAATAAACACACGGTCCTCGATGCCACAGTCTGGACTCCTTCCAGTTGTTGAGAATGAGATGAGGCAGGAGATGCAACTATGCAGATGACTGAGGGTGTTTGGTTTGGTTTGATTGCTTTTCAGCAGAGGCTGAGGGAGAGACTCCGCCTAGTCCCATCTGTACCTGTCTCACACTTTGGGTTTTCCCGTTTTAAAATTGATTCAACAAACATTATTTGAACAAAAGTTTCCACTACTAAATAAAACACCTCTTTACCTACATACACACATGTACATGTATACCTACAGACTTACCTACATGTGTCTAAAGTGTCTCCACAGTGAGTCTGACATTTTCATTAAAAAATCAAGGTTATACAGTGAAACCTCAGTTCTTGAACTTAATGCGTTCCAGAAAACTGTTCAAGAAGCAATTTGTTCAAATACAGAATCTCCATTTTTGCTTGAGAGACAAGTGACTGATCATACTCAAATCAGCACAGAAGGGTTGTCGGGTAGAGAATCGAGGTCCAAAATTTTGTTGAACAACCAAGACATTTTTCTGTGAACAGTTTGGTCAAGAACTGAATTGTTGAAGGACCAAGGCGTTCGAGAACCGAGGTTTGACTGTAATCCCTTTAAGAAACAATCCCATTGATGGATCCTGGTTTAAAAGTTTGGACAGGAGGGGGTTTAATTCTGCCTGTCCAGTTGGCCTGTCAGGCACAGAAGAATCCCACAGTGCCACGCTCTCCAGGGTCACTGACCTCTCCCGCCCCCACCCCCCAGGGCCATTTTTCTTCTATAACATTTAGAACACTAAATTGCCTCTCCTTTCTGTTTGTCTTTTCACTTTGTTAGAAGGAAAAAAAATAGAAAGAAAAATTCTCTGGACTCCCTGATGCGGGCGGGAACTCTAACCTTGCATTGGTCTTTTGTCCGCGCATTTGCAGTGGCTCCTGTGCACCCAGCTTTGGGTTCTCTGGCATTCTTGGATGTCTGGTTTGTTGTCTTTCTGTTAATTTTGAAAAATGCTTGTCTGTTATCTCTTCCCGATATTTCTTCTACCCTGCTCACCCGTACTTCTGGACTTTAGTTACATGTACTTGGGCCTTTGCTATTCTCTCCAGCCTTGGGGCGCTTGTTTTTCTCCCTTGTTTAACTCTGTTTCAGCATATGGATAATTGCTGTTGCTCTGTCTTCCAGTTTGTTGATGTTATGCCTCTCAGCTCAGCCCAGGCTGCTGATGAGCCTGTTAAATTTGCTGAATCCTTCATCTCTGATACCATGGTTTTCTTGTTTTTTTTTCCTCTCTTATTTGGTTTTTTCTTCTCTTTTCTATTTGACATCTTTTAATCAACTTTCCATCTCTGCTAAAATTTTCCATTTGTTCATACATGTTCTTTTTTTTTTTTAACTAAATCTTTTATTATGTTAATCATAGCTATTTTAAAATCCCTGTTTGATAGTTAGTTCTAGCATCTGGGTTGGTTTTGAGTCTGGTTCTGATGACGATCTTGACAGGATTTTTCTTCTCCCTTTTTCTTGGGGTATGCCTTACAGTTTTTGCCTGAATGTTAGAAATCATGTTTAGAAAATGCAGAGACCGGGGAAGCAGTGTCGCGCCTGGAAACGGCGTGCTGCCGCTCTGTCCCGCCAGCAGTGGGGTCCTCCCGTTGCCCCAGTCAGGGGCGGGGCCGGGTTTGGTACTGTTGTTCCCGTGGTTACTTTCTGCGTGCCGCAGGCTTCCGGAAGCGGAGAGCTGCTGGTACCCTGAGCCCTGAGCGGGGCTGGGAGTGTGGGAAGCTTCTCAGTGGCCTTGCTTCACACTCAGCTTCCAGCAGTCTCGTGTGACTGTGGCACAGAGAGGGGTCTCCCTGCTCTGGTGACTGCCCGACCGCCCCTCGCACCACCACCACTGCTACCTCCTCGGGGAATACAGCTGGTACTCTTTGCCTGGTCATGGACTTGGAGAGGGGGATCCTCCTTCCATCCGGCCCAGCCTTGGGCCAGGCACAAGGCCTTTGGCGAGGGCTTTCGCAGCATCCCCACGTTTCATTCCCCCGCGGCAGCTGACCTCCACTTTGTGACGGTGCAGGATCCTTGACCCGGGTGGGCCCCTTTCTCGGGATTAGAGGGGTTTTGCTTTTATCTCCCCCCAAGCCAGGGTATCTTTGCCCATGGTCTGGTACCAGGAGGACTTCCTACTCACCCTCAGAGGCAGGAAAGTACTGCTTTTGCCTTGTCCCCAACAACTGGGGGTCTCTGCTTGGGCTCTGGGAGCAGGAACGGCCTCGTTCCTCTCCCAGTGTAAGGGCTGTGGTCGTGGATTGGGTGAACCTCCAGGGAAAGGCTCAGGGTTTCCTGCCTGACCCCCAGGAGAAGCCAGCCCACACCTGTGCCACCTGTGGAGGCTCTTGCCAGTCTGCCTGTGGAAGAGAGCTCTGCAGTGAGGGCACAGTCCCCTTGTGTCTGGGGCTCCTGGCTGACGATGTCTGGCCCACACTCGGCTTGTGGGAATGTGTCCATCTTGGCCAGTCTCTTCTACCCACTTACATGGTGGCCACTTCCTCCTAGTGCTCTGTCACAGTTAAGACAGTTCAGGTATCCTGTTTCTCCTTGGAGGGACCAGTCCCTCATGCAATTCGGTTCAGGTGGTGGCCTTATAGTTCACCTCTCTGGGCTCAAAGAAAGGTACGATTTTGTAGAATATCAGGCTATTTCTTGATGTTACGGTGGGAGTTCTATGTTCCTTTGTGGCTTTCTACATCCTAAGCGGGTGTAGAACCTCAGAGTAGCTAATAGAACGGCACTTTGTAGTAATATACTAGCAGATGTCACCATCTTATACCTGCCCAGGGTTTTCTTACATGGAAGAGTTCTGGTTTTATAAAATGAATTTTGACGTACTTCCTGTGCTTTTTCATTTCTTTCAGTTATCTCAGCTATACCCTGAAGAAAATTTGGAGAAATTCATTCCTTGCTTAGCTGGCCCAGATTCGTTTTATGTAGAGCGAAACCACATAGATCTGGAAGCGGACCTGAGGTAATGCTCCCCACCCCGCCCCCAGGGCCAGCCCTGCTGGTGGCACGGTGGTGACCCATGGACATCTGCAGTGTGGGCAGGGCCGGCAGGGCCAGGCGTGAGCTGCCTGGTCATCCGAGGACCTCTTCGCATTATATGTTACTCTCACTGGTTTGAGTATCTACTTTGTTTGTAGGAATTTTCATCAGCAATGGGCAGTTTAAGACTCTTAATAACCTAGATGTGATTTTGAGGTTATGAGCAAAGGAATTTCAAAGTATGTGGTACTTGCCCTGACCTGGTAGCTCAGTTGGTTAGAGTGTCATCTCAATATGCCAAGGTGTTGTGGGTTCAGTCCCCGGTCAGGACACATACAAGAAGCAACCATTGAATGCATAGGTAAGTGGAACAATGCGGACACACTCATAGATGGAGAGCAGATGACAGCTAGTTGGCAGGGAGAGGTTGGAGGTGGAGGGATTGAGCAAAAAGAAAAAAAGACTCTTGGACATGGACAACAGTGTGGTGATTGCTGAGGAGAGGGGGGTATATGGTAATGGAAAAAAATAAAATAAAAATAAAATTTTTTAAAAAGTGAAACAATAAATTGATGTTTCTTTCCCTCCATCTCTCTAAAATCAATAAATAAAAAAAATCAAAATATATGCTACCATAACATGTAATTTTGACAGTCTTATAACAATTACATCTGATGACTATTTCTGCCCTGTAATTGAAAGTTAAGACTGATCCAGGGCCTAACAAAAAGTCTCCCAGGCCAGGTGTTTGTGGACCCCGGAGACTCTCCTGGCATACTGGTTTCATAGACGTGCAGGGAGGAGAAGGCCTGCTGCCTGGCTCCGGAACAGGCGCTGACATCTTGGCACCTGAGACCTAGTCATAGCACAGTGACTACAAGTTCCTTGTGATCGTGATGGCGCTGGTCGCATTCACGTTATGGCTCACCGGACTGTATAGTGAGCCCGTGAAGGCTTGATTGCTACAATCTGATACAGTACAAGTAAGGGAAGGTGCATGGGGAAATAGTGTGAATCATAATAAAGATCAAATGGAGTTAAATCAGGACGAATATAGATTAAGACACTACTGTTTACTTTCTCATCTAATATATATTTCTCTTAATTGAAAATGTAAATTTCAGTTTTTTGTAGTATTTTAATGCAGATAAACCCATTTGTTTAATTTTTAGGTATTTGGCTTCATTACCTTCTCACGTACTGAAAAATGACCATGTTAAGAAATTTTTCAGCACTTCATCTCCCACCCAACAGCTTCAAAGTCCAAGTGAGTTCGTAAAATGTAATTAAGTAAAAATAAGAACATTTTTATTGTCTGTAAATTTTACAACATTTATTTTAACTCACAGGTCCTGGCAACCTTTCCCTTTCTAAAGTCGGTACCATGATGGGTGTGTCTGGAAGGTGAGACTTCTACCATGTAACCAACACCTTTCAAATAATATTGTTACTTTTGGTTGTGTGTAAATAACTGTTTCTAGAGTTAAGTCATTCTCGATCTTAGTCTTGAATAATGTTGAGAGAGGAATTATGTAGAGATAATCCAATTTAAAATTGCTCAAAAGAAAGAGAAAGAAATGCTTCCTTTTTCTGAGCCACTGGAATTGGAATTCCCAAGGACCTCTATTGCAAGCTCCAGTGTCTGGGCCCTGTACAGTCTAGGTTTCTGAGAACCTTCCATTTCACAAGTGCCCAGCAAGTGAGTATGCCCATGGTGCCGGCGTGCTGCTCTGGGGGCCTCCGTTCTGGTGAGGCCTGACAGCAGTGGCAGGCGCGCTCAAGTGGCGCGCGGGCTGCCTGCCTGTCTCAGAGCTGACGTTCCAGTGGGCCGGCGTCACAGGGAGCCTGTGTGCAAGCATGCAGTTGTAGGACAACCTCGGTAGTTAATGAGTTCTCTGAAAGTGCTGACTTTCTTCTTTACTGCACACCACTTAGCCTGGCATATAGGTTTACAGTTTAGGATGGAAGGGGCAAGGAAAGAAAGTAGGTGCTTTGTGTTCCTTCCAGCTTCTAGGATTTGCTTTAAAAAAAATTGAGTATTAAAGATTTAGGAGTCAATTTTAATTTATGATTATGAGTATCATTTTGTGACACAAGTAACAGAAAGAAACTAGGCAGCTCAGCCAGAAGTTGGTTGTGACACACACATATGTATGTATACATTTGTGTACACAGATACATGTAGTCTCAAGTACATGCATAGAAAGGCATGTGTACATATGTATACACATTTCCTTAGAGCATACGGATGAACACATACATGTACGCACACACATGCACCTACAGGCATCAAACTGTGGGGTGAGGAGGGGAAGTGGCAGAAAAGGCTCCGAGGTTAGTAGTGGGAATGACCACAGGTGCAGTCCAGGATGTGGAAGCTGGCTCGTGCATGCCTCTAACAGTGATTGTCAGTGGAGGCTGCGGTCTTTTGAAACCACCTGTCCACTGTCTTCGCAGGCCTGTGTGTGGAGTGGCCGGTATCCCATCCTCTCAGAGTGGCACCCAGCACCACATGCAGCACTCAGCGGGTGCGGCTGCCTTGCCCCACTGCTCCCACGCAGGGGGCGGGGGCTCAGCACTGGCCTACCGGACCCAGATGGACACCTCGCCTGCCATCTTAATGCCTTCCAGTCTGCAGACTCCTCAGACCCAGGAGCAAAATGGGATTTTAGACTGGCTGAGGAAACTGCGTTTGCACAAATACTACCCCGTCTTTAAACAGCTCACAATGGAGAAGGTATGCTGGCTACCTAGCAGGTAGTGTAGAATTTGCTTCTTTTTTCAGGTAACCTGTCTTTCTTCTGACCTCACTCCTAGAGGAATTGAATTGGATTTCTGACTGTATGGGATGCGGGAGTGATGGTGCCTGGCATCTAACGCCTCCAGAGGCATGTCCTGAGTCCCGCATGCTTGCTGGGGGCCGGCAGTGGGTGGAACTTGAAGGCTCCCTGCAGCTGAAAGAAAAGCTGGAACAGGATTGGTTGTAAACAAACAGCTTTTTTAGGTAGTTTGGGGTCTTTACTAATTAGGTACTTTGTGTGATGTGAAGGACGTTATGTCTCCATCAGTCCTGCAATAGATTGAAATAGTGAATTCTGCTGCCCGCGCCCCCCACTGCTATCTGAAGTACCCCTCGCAGGAGGCCTGTGCAGGGGCTGCGGCTTGGCTCAAGAGGGCCAGTTTGAGGGGTCCAAACACTGGTCCCCGCAAATGGCTCTCTGTTGATCAGGCTTGATTTGGGTCATATAGCTAAAGGAATAGATGGATTTCAGGGCTTTCAAGCAGTCCTTCATAGAAATTAGTTTTTACAGAAAGTTCTCAGTAGGAGCATTTATTTACAGTTAAATTCTGGAGTTTTGGTATCACTAATAAAACCAAATTAGACCTGTATGTGGTGTTTGAGCTCTGAGCTCCCCCTGTTGGATAAAGTGACTTTGTGACTTTTATCTAGCTAAAAATTTCATTTGTCCAAAAATCTGCAATTGAACTTAGAAATCTAGCTGTTACTGCCTAGTAAAAAACAAATTCTAAGTACATTTGTGATAGTTTAGGATTCATAGATCTTAAAAACAACAGATTTTATTAACATTAGTCATGATCAGTTTTAAAAGCTTTACTCTAATGCATCAGCTAAAATGGCTACAGTCACAAATTATGTCATGGGCTGTCTTGAGCACCAGAGTATCATCTGTTCAGTTGGTGTGAGGCCTCATTAGTTCTGGTGCCCTGTACTCTTCTGGATCACCTTGCTTCCCAACAAAGTTGATGTTGGCCCAGATTTCAGGAAAAAAAGAGGTGTTAAAAGAAATTGTCCTCCTGTCTCCAAGAGGATAAAAGCTTGCATTTGAGGGGGAGTCCCAGGGAGGAAGGAGGCCCTTCCCCAAATTGCATCTCTCATCACCTGCCTGCACAGCATGGACCTTCCTTCCAGGGGACTCTGTCTTCACCAAGCAATTGCGAGGCGCCTGTGCCCCTTAGATGCAAAATGATCATCTTGTATTTTGAACTGTGGATATGGAAACATTTAGCAAGTAAATGTTTTAGTGTTCCCAAGTCTTTTATTATCTAGTAAGTTCAATCTGTTTACATATCCTAGAAGTAGGATCAAAGTTCTTTGTTTTTAGAATCTTAATTCTCAGTAACTTTGTAATTTGTTTCTTCTATGGAAGTTTCTCAGCCTCACCGAAGAAGATCTAAATAAATTTGAATCCCTCACCATGGGAGCAAAGAAAAAACTCAAGACTCAACTGGAGCTGGAGAAGTAAGTGTGAAGTTGTTTATGAAGTACATGCCCATTTTAGTTTCTGACATACTGAACAGATTGATGCTGGGACTTGGAATTGTGTTACGTGTCAATGACTGGATTACTTTTGATTGCTTATCAAACTTAATGCTTTACAGTTCTGTGAGTGTGGCTCTGGTTTGCTAGGTAAGGCCGTCTGCAGTGAACCTGACAAGTGAGAATGGAGATGATTATGATGAAAGTCACCTCTGTGTGGAATAGATGTATGTAAGCAGAGTTGGTGACACGTGAGAAGGTTTTTCAGCAGAATGGAAACCTCATCTATTTGCATGCTTTCTTACTGCACAGGGAGAAGTCAGAGAAACGGTGCATGAACCCCTCGGCCCCACCCACTGTCACCAGTAGCGGAGTGGCCCGCGTGCCCCCCACCAGCCATGTGGGGCCCGTGCAGAATGTGCGGAGCACCCACGCTGCAGGTGCGCGAGCGCCGGGTTAGCCTGGACACACGGACGGCAGTCTGTTCTTTTGATAATCATTAGACTTCATAACACACCCTTTTGCCATACACATTTTTTTCAGTATTTACAATGACTGTTCGTTATTGTAGCTTTTGTAATCTTTACCATAGGAAATTAAAAGTGTCTTGACTTAGGAGCTGGAGACTGATAACTCACCTGAAGTTGTTAGGGCAAAAGAATTAGATCCAGAAACTACTATGATAAGAGGGAAAGAGCAGGTAACATACAAAATAGATGAGAGCATCTCTTTTCCCAAGATGGGGCACAGAGGTCATGTTTAGGTCATTGCCTAGTAAGTCCATTTTGAAATTTCTCCTTAATGCCTAACTACCAGCCCTTTTGCTCTGGGGACTTGAAGTTCCAGTGATCCTCCTCCTGCTGTTTTCTCTCCTCAGAAAAAGGTTGAGCGACCCCCATATAAGTTGCTCTGTTGTTTTATTTATATAATAGAGATATCAAGAGTAACAGTACAAGAGTGTAGGGGAAAATGCCAGTGTATCTTTTAAGTGGTTATTTGACTAAAAAGGTCTTATGTCCCTGAACCTCATGAAATAGGGTGTTTGTGGATGATGACTTTCGTAGCACTGTGCTGATTTGGGAACCTTCTATCTCATTCCATGGTGTTTGAGTAGGGAGGTATCTGAGCATCTGGCTGAGAGCATTGCTGTGTTTGCATCTGCTGTATAACCAGCCACGTGACTGTGGGCAGTTGGTTCTCTTAAGATGTCAGAGCCCTGTCTGACTCTTGGGGCTGATGTAAAGAAATCAGTGTATGGTAGATGTTCATGGAGGTGGGTGAGAGGCGTCCGATAGCGCATGGACTTGGGTGCCACCTTCCGACTGTCACCTCTCTCTTCCGTGCAGCGCTGCGGGTGGAAGTGGAGCAGACACCTCACCAGACGGCCCGGGAAGGCAGCTCCTCAGAGTGCTCCAGCTCTTCGCCCAGCCCCATGGGGGTGCAGGCCCGGGAAGAGAGCTCGGACAGCGCCGAGGAGAACGACAGACGTAAGGATGCCCGGCGTGGCTGGCCCAGGGTTGCTCCGCCCTGGCCTGTGGGACTGTGCTGACCTTCCTGTTTCCATCTCTAGGTGTGGAGGTGCACTTGGAGGGTTCCGATAAGGAGAAGCCTGTCATGCTACTGAATCATTTCACTTCAACTTCCGCCAGACCCACGGCCCAGGTTCTTCCTGTGCAGAATGAGGCAGGCTCTAATCCGTCGGGCCACCACCCCCTGCCTCCTCAGATGATGACTGCAGCCTCGCACATCGCTCCCATCCGAATGCTGAACTCTGTGCACAAATCGGAACGAGGGGGTGCGGACATGAAGCTCCTCTCGTCTTCTATGCACTCACTGCTGTCTCTGGAAGAAAGGAATAAAGTCTCTGGACCAAGAAGTGGCATCAAAGTGGACAAGAGCTTTGGCAATGCCATGATGGACGTGTTACCCACGTCTGCCCCCCATCAGCCCATGCAGGTCCTCTCTGGACTTACTGAGAGCAACTCCGTGTCACCCACCGTGTCCTTTGGTCCTCGTACCAAAGTTGTCCACGCGTCTGCACTGGACAGGGTGATGAAGCCGGCCCAGCAGCCAGCCCTGGTGGTAGAGACGAGCTCTGCTGCCATGGGGACATCCAGCACGGTCTTCCATGTGGCTCGGCCACCAATGAAACTTCTGATGTCTTCATCTGTCCCTGCGGATTCTGCCATTTCTGGGCAAACTTCCTGTTCTAATAACGTGCAGATCAGTGTGCCCCCTGCAATAATAAACCCCCGGACTGCTCTGTACACAGCCAACACCAAAGCTGCCTTCTCTGCAATGAGCAGTGTGCCCGTGGGCCCCCTGCAGAGCAGCTTCTGTGCGAACAGCAACACTGCCTCCTCCAGTAGCCACGCTTCCCCATCCTTCCCAAACATGGCCACTGTGCCCAGCTGCCCCGCCCCCAGCTCCAGCCCTGCGCTCTCCTCAGTCCCTGAAAGCAGTTTCTACAGCAGCAGCAGCAGCAGCAGTGGCAGCGGTTCCCCCGGGAACATTCCTGCCTCTGCTCAGAACCATCACCACCACCACCACCATCAGCAACCACCGGGGCCCCAGCAACCCTCACCCGGCCCGCCACCTGGCTGCGTCGTGTGCACGTCCTGTGGATGCAGTGGGAGCTGTGGCTCTGGCGGCCTGACCGTCAGCTATGCCAACTATTTCCAGCACCCATTCTCGGGGCCATCCGTCTTCCCCTTCCCCTTCCTGCCCTTCAGTCCCGTGTGTGGGAGCGGCTACGTGGGCACGCAGCAGTATGGCAGCAGCACCTTCCCAGTCATGCCCTCACCCTACGGCAGCAGCGTGCCCGCGGAGCCTGTGCTGGGTGGCCAGTCCACGTTCACCGTCCCTCCCATGCAGAGCTTCATGGCAGGGGCGGCCGGTGTGTACCAGGCCCAGGGCGTGGTGGGCAGTAGCAATGGTTCCAGTCACAAAAAGAGCGGCAACCTCTCATGTTACAACTGTGGGGCCACCGGTCACCGTGCTCAGGACTGCAAGCAGCCGTCCATGGACTTCAATCGGCAAGGTAAAGGCGGGCCGCGGCCGTCGAAGCTCCGGAGGCAAACCGGCTTCACTGGTTAGCAGTGCAGCGCTACCCAGAGAGGTGCAGGAAAAGGTTTATTGTTTATGAAAATAATAGTAAACGTTCTTCTTTTAAAAGCAAAAATCAATTTTTCAAATCTCTTTGAAAAAGCATGAAATTCTTGGTAGGCTGTGAAGTTCCCAAAAGGAGGGTTACTTTGGTTCTGAGACTGTCTTCATGATTTTGGCCTGCTCCTTATTCTAGAATGTGACGAGCTGGCTGTGGAGAGGGGGGTCTGGCCTGATGGCTCCTTGGTCTATTACTTCTTCCCATGTGACTGGGGAGCAAGTATGGGTGATTTAATGTCACCCCCAACCTTTAACTGAAAGCCTAGGGCGTAGCACATAAATTCAGATGCTGCAGATGGAAGTCCGTGTCCCCACTTCTGTTCTCCCCCCTCCAGGGTGCCCGTGGCTGTTGGTGTGTGTACATGAGTGCGTGACACCGTCCTCACTGCACTGCCATCTTCTTTCTTCCCACCTTTCTCCCACTTGCTCTCTTGTTTGCTTTAGTCAAATTCAAGTGTATGTCTGCTGTATTTATTGCAACGGGTTTGTTCTTGCAATTGGTTTTGGAAAGGTCATTAAACTGGGCATTGGGAAAGTTGGTCCCAGCTCTGTGACTATTTGCTCTGCGGCCTTGAAGTCACTTGATCTTGTAGGTGCGAGGGTTGCTTTAGACCTGTGATGACCAGACCTCCCAGTGTATCTTAGTCATCTGGAGAGCTTTAAAGACAAACAAGTCAGTCCTAGTAGGTCTGGTGGCAGGTACGGGCGACTTTTGGCTATGGCCACCCGTGTTGATAGAGATGGTGCTGCATCTCCTAAAGCAGCGAGCCCAGAGCATGTGATCCTTGTCTCTGGGCCGAGGCATGCTGGACAGTTCACCAGCTATGTGCTGTTGGAGTCAGAAAAAGAGCTGCTAAAAGAATTAAGGAATGGATTAGTAACTGTTCAGTTACTTCACCCCTTGTCTGATTTTATAAACTAATATAGTAACATCCAGTTTTTGGGTGGGAGAGGGGGGCTTGCAGTTGTTGGAAAGAGATGGTCTAGATTTCCAGCACCTGAATCTTGACCAGTTACTCTGGAAATAACTTTGGACAGATCAGTTGTTTGTGGTAATTCTACAGTGATTCAAATGTGATCTCTTTTTTTCCCTCTCTCTAGGTACTTTTAGGTTGAAATATGCCCCTCCAGCAGAAAGTCTGGACTCCACAGATTGATATTTTTCTCTGGCAACAGAACACTATTAAGCCATGGAGACATAAGGAAAATTAAATACAAAACTGAGAAGTCTAGTTGCTGTTGAGCTTAATATTTTTAATCCAAAGGTGCTTTACTTTATTAGACTGGATAGAAAACCTAGCGTAGGAGTGCATCAAACTCAGTTTTATTGCCAAAATTTTAGATTGGAGCTCGATGTCAGGACTTGCCTAGTGGGTATCTCCACAGCGGGTGAAATTGGCCACCTCCACCCTTGGTTGCAATGCAGAGACCTGCCGTCTCTGGAAGAGCATTGCCGTAACTGGTCCTTCTAGGCTCCCACGTAATTCCAGGGCAGCTACGCGAGATCGGAAGTGAGAGCTGAAGGTTGGAGTTCTCCAAGTGGAGTTCCACCAGTCGGACTGTTGACACCCCTGGGTGAGGGAAAATGTCACCTTTGTTTTGTTTTGTTTTGTTTTGTTGTTTTGTTTTGTTCCTAAAGTGGTTAGGCACTAATTTCTGAGCTTTTTAAGGATTGCACTACGGAAGAATGTAAACTGATGTCAATCTCTGCAGTTCTGGGAGACATACTCCCTGAGACCAGTCAGTGCAAGACATTCAGAGGATCTGTCTTTACAGAGTTGGCACCAGCAGGCCACGTGACTTAGCACACAACAGAGATTTTAGTATTTACTTCCTTCCTTAGAACACTTTGTAGCAGTTTCAGGTTTTTAATTTTTTTTTTTTTTTTTGCAAATAAATTTAAACTACATTATTAAGTAGCAATAGTTACTCACAACAACTAATATCTAAGGGTCCAAGTCCCAGAGAATTCCTAATTATCAAAGCTTTGAGAATATGTTCTTTACTGGCCCTTCCATACCTTTCAGTCCTGTCATCTTCCACCACGAAGGAACTCTCACAGAGACATGGTGACAGCACTGCCTTTGTGAGTTGGCTCTGACAGATGCCGTCTCTCCTTAGCCAAGTTTGCAAGCTTATTAAATCTCACACAGACTTCCCAGAGACCCCAAGGCTTACTGCTGACAGGTTCACACTTGAGACACACACTTCAACAATAATACAGCCCTGTAATTTATGAGCAAAAGATTTGCAATTTTCTCTGTCATCTTCTTTTGTATTAGGCTGTGTATTCATAGTTAGTTCTGTTAAAAATTACCTGGAAGACTAATAGAAAGTGGTAGACTCTCAAAGAGACCACGCCAACAGGACAGCTGCGGGACCTGCAGAAGTCTAGTTTTATCGAGGTGAGAAATAGTCCTCACCGCACAGCTCTCAGTTTCACCCCATTGCAGTGAGAGCTTTGGGGCCTGAAATGTAGGGACTTAAATCTTTAAGACTAAAGGGAATTTTCTGCTGAAATAACATTTATTTTAAATGCGAAAGCCTTCAGTATTAAAATATTGATTGGTAAGGCCTTGCCCAGGGATTTTTCCAGATGAATATTTATTTTTTAAAAAAATCACAATAGTCAGACCATTCTTAAAATGGGACAATCAGCCTCAAGCAAAACTGATGTAAATTAAAAGAATACCCTAGAATTTGAGGCATTGTGATGTGAGGCTTCACATTTTGAGATCAGTTTCCTGGCTTCATGGAAACTAAAGTTGAAAGTTGTTACCTTTTTTTTTTTTTTTTTATAAAAGGCTTTTAGTAGAGTTTTTTTAGAGTTTTATTTTAGTAGAGTTTTATTTCTATGCAATGCAGAATTGACAGACCTCTGTATTCTTATCTCTCGTCCTGGTACACAGTATCATCAGATACGGTCTTTAAGCAATGGCGATGCTTACAGCAGCTTTTGGGGGGAATGTTACATTGATCTCTAAAATTAAAAACACTACAAAAATGTCAAAATAATGAGAACTGACACAATTTTGCCTTAAAGAATATTAGACTGGAACTTGTCATATTATGTTAAAGGAAGACTTAGAGTGTTCATTGATGTTTACGATTTTAATATTTCTGAAGGCCGTTGTAGTGGCCTGGATATGTGCTGAAAGCCAAACTTTTAAATTTTTTGGTTTTTTAAACAAAGAAATATTTTAAATAAATCCTATTTCAACATAGTGAAATTGTTGAAAACTGTCTCATAATAAAAAAAAATCATACTTAGGTTTTTTCTTTTAATGGTCAGTATTGGGGAATGAAGGTACATGTTGTTACCCTTACAACTATTTTGATAAATATTAGAGGTTAGTATTAAATACGACAAAAAATTAAACTTTGATTTGAAGTATGACATTCAGAATGAGGTAAATATCAGACATTGTGTGGCTGTGTTCCAGTCATCAAAGGTGTTAGAAGAATTCCTGGTTTCTTTGAAAGTGCGTGTGTGGTGTGACATTTCCAATGAGGTCATTCCAAGTTGACATTTGTAAAATATAAATATGAGGCACACAGGACATAAAGCTGCTGATCTGTCAAATATCTTCCCAAATGAATCGCATACTTGGACTTGGGAATATTTGCTAGCAGCAGTATCTCTGATGAATTTCTCTCCAAAAGCAACCAAAGTCAGTAAATCTAAAAGAGCATTTTGCATTTCCTCAGAAGATGTCCTCACCAGTTAGAAACACAGATCAGACTGATCCTTTCAACTACTTAGTCATTTTCCTGAAAACGTGGCTGTTTCGAAGTGCCGTGGCAACCAGGTAGGTGTGGCACCAGCCACTTTGCTTTGTGTAGTCTGTCATATATTAAAGTTTCTAACCCCATTTTTATCTCCAAGAATGGGGAAAGAGGAATGTACAGATCAAAGTACAATACAATGTTGGGGTGAAACTTAATCTTTTTTTTTTTTTAAGAAAAACACTCAATTTTATACATTATTTTCTAATTTTTATTTCATGGTAATACTGAAAATTAGAAAGTGTTTAAACATTAAAACTCCTAATTGTTAAAGAGCACTGAGGAAATGGGAGCTAGCACTTCTAATAAAAATAGACAAATTTATTTTTTAAAAGCAGATATGTGATTGGGTATTTTAAAAAAACCAGCATCATCTATAATCTTCAAAAGATTACAGGAGTCAGCTTGTTAATATAGTAGTTAGTAGGTTGAGTACTTTAGTTCACTATATTTAGAATTCTATAGGTCTTTTATCGCAAGAAGTCAACATAGTTAGTTCACACTACACATTATGTATGGAGGCGCAGTAGCAGTGATAGTAACTGTGCCTAACATCACGCAGCTGTAACGTGTTTCCTGTCTGAGCACAGGCTGACCGAGGCTTGCACTCATCCACTCACTCCAGTGTTTCTAGTGAGCACTTGCCAAGAGGAATCGGGTTGTACCCTACCTTCCTCACTCCCTATCATTTTGTCACTCTTCCTGCTTTTGTGGTGGTTTATTTGATGCCTTGTTAGTTTTACATACCGATAACTGATGGCGTTACATGTTGAAGAGTCTTAAAGGTTATAAGGGAAACCATGTCCCTGCTCAGCTTGACCACCTGTCTCAGAGGATGGGCTTGTGGAACCTGATCCTGTCGGCCATCCTTTCCAAAGTACGGATGACTCCCAAAGAATGAGTCAGGTGACATTTAAAGCCACGGGTTCTGAAGAGGCTCAATTATTGAAAAGTCCCAAGGTTCTGAAAGAAAAGATCTTTAATCAACATTCATAAAACTACATACTGTGCTGGTTGAGGCCAAAGGTCAATGTTGCTACACTGTTAATGGAGGGAGGGGAGTGTTGGTTCTCCGTCCTGGGTATTGTAACAAGCCCCTCACATGCGTAAGTTCTTACATGCACAAAGACAAAGGCTTTGGTACTGAAACTGAAGACCTCGTATACTCAAGAATCTTCACAGCTTCTACTGGACATATTTTCTTTTTAGGAATGAAGGAAAAGTCTCCCATTTTTGAGCCATTCTTTTATGTCAATTCTACAAAATTGCATGTAACTTTATAAATATTTTTTAAAAATATAGTTTTGTAAATATTTAATATTCTGCTAATTTGATTTTGAATTGTAAATGTCAAGTATTCTGTTTTTGGGGTTTTTATGTTTTATTATACTTTGTTAAAAAGGAAAAATTGTACATTTTTAGAATGTTTTTATGAGTAAATTTAATGTACTGAAAATAAAAATTGAAAAAAACCCCTTTCGTTTCATGAGGTCTTTGTCTCAAAATATGAAGCACACATTCTTTTCAAATAAATCACAATTCTTGATCTCTACACTAGGGAGTCAGTTCTTTCTGCCTTCTTCCCAGCTTTACAAAAAGGGATACTTGGTCTTAAATCTGTTTTCCTTCAAGTTCCCCAGGTTTTTAAAAATATCCTTGATATGGACAGAAATTTGAATTACTGATTTGGGGTTTAAGGATGTTACATACAGTGGCAGGTTTCATAACAATCAAGGTTGGTGTTAATAGATTAAAGCATCTTTTCCTAAAATTTAAATTTTTTTTTCAATTACTGTTGTCATAGAGTATTATATTAGTTTTAGGTGTACTCTAGTGATTAGACATTACATAAATTACTAAGTGATCATTCAGATATATCCTGTATGAGTCCGACACCATACTTAGCTCTTAGAATGGTATTGACTATATTGAGTATGCTGTACTTCACATCCATCCCTATGACTATTCTGTAACTATCAATTTGTACTTTTTAATCTTTTCACCTTTTTCACTCATTCCTCCAACCCCTTTCCCATCTGGCAACTGTCAAAATGTTTATAGCTATGAGTCTGTTCCAGTTTTTCATTTTCATTTTTTTAGATTTAATTGTTTATATGTATGGCTATTTTATTCATATTTTTATCTTTTTTCCTTAAAGAAAGCCCTTTAACATTTCATATAATTCTGGTTTGGTGGTATTGAACTCTAGCTTTTTCTTGTCTGGGAAGCTCTTTTTCTTTCCTTCAACTCTACATGATAGCCTTAGTGGATCATCTTGTTACAGGTCCCTGTTCTTTATCACTTTGGATATTTTGTGTCAATCCATTGTGGCCTGCAAAGTTTCTGTTAAGAACTCAGCTAACAGTCTTATGGGAGCTCGCTTTTAGATAACTAACTTTCGGCATTTTAATTATGCTGTGGCTTGATATGGGCCTCTTTGGGTTCATCTTGTTTCTCTGTGCTTCCTTGACTTGTATGTCTATTTCATTCACCAGGTTAAGGAAGTATTCTGTCATTATTTTTTCAAGTAGCTTTTCAATTTATTGCTTTCTCCTTCCAGCAACCTGTGATGTGAATGCTGATATATTTGAAGCTGTCCCAGAGGCTCCTTAAACAATTTTCATTTTTTTGGATTTTTCTTTTCTTTTCGCTGTTCTGAGTGGATTTTTTTTTGCTTTCTTATATTCCAGGTCACTAATTTGATTCTTGGCATCATCTACTTTATTGTTGATTTCCCTGTAAATTATTCTTCATTTCAGTTAGTATAGCCTTCATTTCTGAGTGGTTCTTTTCATGCTGTTGAAGTTCTCACTGAGTTCATTAAACAGCCTTATAACCAGTATTTTGAATTCTGCATCTAGAAGATTGCTTGTCTCCACTATATTTAGTCCTTTTACTGGAGTTCTGTTCTTTCATTTAGGACCTGTTTCTGTCTCCTCATTTTGGCAGCCTCCCTGTGTGTGTTTCTATTACGTATTAGGTCGAGCTGCTGTGACTCCATAGCCTAATTTAGTGGGTGTCCTATAGGGTCCAGTGGCACAGCTTACCTGTTCACCCAAGCTGGGCATTTAAAGCGTGCATCCCCACCCCCTGTGGGTTGTGTATACCCTCCTTTTATAGTTGAGCCTTGTTGGCAAGTCAGTGGGAGGGATTTAACCCAGGTAGGTCTGCTGCAAGGACTGACTGCTACTACCATTGAAAAACAGCTGTGCAGAGGCCCACCCCACAGAGCAGGACTTAATTCAGTGGGGCTTTGGTGCCTGCCTAGTCCACCCCTTGAATGTGTTGCCTGTGGAGGTGGTTGGGTGGTGCTTCAACATGGCCTGAAGATGTCCGCTGGGTGCAATGGCTCTGGGGCCTCCTGGGAAGTACAGGCCAAGGTCAGCCGCCGCTGGTGTTCTACTTGGGTATGCCCGGCATGAGCTACAAAGCTATCTGCAGGTGGCTGCTACTTGTTTTGGTCTTGGAGATGTCCAGGAGAGACCAGGCTGTGAACCAAGATCAGCTGCCACTAGTACCAGGCCTGGGGCCACTTAGCAAGGAGTATGGGGCACAGCAAGGCTTGATGCTTGCTGCCTGTATGAGAGATTTTAGGAAATCTGAAGCATGAGCTAAGTCAGCCATTCGTATGGAAAAGCCACTGGCAACAGCTTGGGTGAGCTGAAAGCTGGGTGGAGCAGGCTCTCAGGGAAATCACCAGGGTGGGCAAGCAATGTCAGCCAGGTTGATGGACACTCAGATAAGGCAATGCCTGCCTACTCTGTTGGGGAAGGGGCTCAGCAAAGGAACAATGGCCTCTGCCACCACTTATGTCTTGGAGAAAGCTGCCTCTCCAGGCTTCACCATGATACCAGACAGTTGAGTTCCTCCCCATATGTCCCTGGTGGCTTTTGAGCTGTTTCTCTAGTAGTGGAGCTCAGAGGGAGTGAGCGCCAGTGTCTGTGGGTGGTCCCTCTAAGAGGCGCTGTCTGGGACTCCAGAAGCTCTTTGCATCACTGATCTTTGGATCCAGCCAGAAGTTGTGGAGTCTTCTCTTCTGGCACTAGCCTCCTGGGCTAGGGGGCCTGGTGTGGGGCCAGGACCCCTCACTTCTCAGGGGGGACCTCCACAGCCAAGATCTCTCTCCTGATCCACCACACATGGTTGCAGAACAGCCTGTTCCGCGTCTCTGCCCCTCCCACCAGTCTCAATGAGGCTTTTGTATATCTTTACAAGACTTCCATTCAGATTTCAGGTGGTTCTGAATGATGGTGGTTCTGCAGTTTAGTTGTAATTCTGATGTAGATGTAAGCATCTTTTGAATGTTTCCACATGTGGTGAATGTGACATTAATGTGCCATGGCCATCTAAAGCTCTGTTCTCTGGATTTGGAAGGGTGGCAGTCAGAGTGTGCCTGGGACTGCCTTTTTGTCATGAGCAAGCAGTGCCAAGCACTAGAGGGAGAACCCTCGTGCCTTTTCCCCATGGAGGTCCCTAAGCCTTCTTGGTTTTTTCAAGCATGGTCAGGGCCACTGTCAGGTTAATAACATCAGGAGACACAGCTGGCACCTGCTGGCAGTCCCTGACATGGAGGATCGTGCTCTTTGGTTACTTCCAGGGCCTCTGGGTTGTCTAGGGAACCATCCAGGCCAGGCCTCCGGAGATGGGAGACGTGCACATCTGCTGAACAAGAAACTCAGGGAAGCAGAGCATTCCCTTAACTTGCTGCCTGTACTCTTCTACTGATGTTAGTGTCTACTTCAGTTGAGTTGGTTCTGGGTCGTTTTGCAAATGAGTAACACTGGCTACTACTTGGCTTCTCTTTGTACTGTATCTTTATTTGATGCAGCTCCCCAGTCAACTGAGGTGCCATAAGTCATGTAATGTGTTTGTGACCCCAAAACACCTTTGTATTTTACTTTGTTGTTCATTCAGAGCGACTAAGTTTTTAAGTGTTTATTTCCATGATACACCTAGGTCATACATCCATCTTCTGTGTACTTTGTAACATGTAAGTTCTAAGGAGAATTTAGGCTTTTTAAAAAATTTTATTTATTGATTTTTTAGAGAGGAAGGGAGGGAAGAGGGAAGAGAGAAGCATCAATTTGTTATTCCATTTGCTTATGCGTTCATTGGTTGATTCTTGTATGTATCCTGACTGGGGATCAAAGCCACAATGTTGGCATATTGGACAACACTCCAACTGACTGAGCCTCCTGACCAAGGCCCTCAACCAGGTGGCAGAACCTTGACCCTGAAGAAGGTGCCCATGACAAGGCAGAGACCTTCAAAGGTGGGTGTCCCTCCAACTCAGCTGTTCCTCCACCCTGAAGAAGGTGCCCATGACAAGGCAGAGACCTTCAAAGGTGGGTGTCCCTCCAACTCAGCTGTTCCTCCACCCTGAAGAAGGTGCCCATGACAAGGCAGAGACCTTCAAAGGTGGGTGTCCCTCCAACTCAGCTGTTCCTCCACACCGCAAAACCAGCCTGGGTGCTCCTTGGGAAGGATATTACTTGTTTGTCTTCGGCTACTACAGACAATATGCAGGATTGTAAGTCTCAGACACTGATCCATTAAACTGAGTTTGATGACAGTTTTTAATTGTGCCTTTATTCACCTTAGTTCATTAAAAATGTACTTTTTTAAAGACCCTATAAATATTGAGTGACCCCCCACTAATACGGGATATGTCACCCCTCTTGCCATGGTATTTTTTTTAAAAAGCAGAATTTCTTACAGGAATCTTATTGATCACACAGTAGTTACAAGAATGTCAGATATAATGACGTATACAATCTAAGTAAGACAGGCCAATTAAGAATGTACATAATGTAAAAATATACATATTAAAAGTTAGCCATGTAGACAGACGCATGCAGCAGCAGCAGTAGGTGATGGGAGGTTGGGGGTTCAAGGCCCATATGCAGTAATATTGCCTAATCCCTCCATTACAGTAAATAATTTCCACTAACTGATGCAGGTATTCCATATACATCTAAATATACAAGGGCAAATCATGACCTGCTACATGTAATCTAAAGTGGTCTGTGATCTTTTTGTGATACTCCCATAAAAATAGTAAATAATGAACCTCATGCAGGTAGTAGGACGTATTGGTTATTCTAGTGGGACTTGGAAAATAAGTTTTAACTTTTGACATTAATATCTGTGAAGAGAATATCTCTTTTTACTGTTTTCTTCACAACTGACATGCACTTAAGAGTGCGGGAATTTCGATGGTTGTTTTGACTTAACAGTGATAACTGAAATACTCTTAAAAATGTAACTTTTTAATAACATATTTTAGTCACATACTTAACATAAAACATGGATCATCTGTATCTTTAAGCCTAAATATCGAGGAAGTGCATCTGAATTTTGATGTTTTTAGTGTCAGAATTCTGTAGTTTCCACCCCTGCCCTAAAAAATGAAACTGATACAATTGCTTGTTTATTTACCAAAACAGGCACTAGTTTGAGCTCTTTGATCAGAGAATATCCAAAACAGAAGAAATGTCACTTTTTTCCTCCGGTTTTTTTGTTTTGTTTTTTGGTTTTTTTTTGAGAAACTAGACCAAAATAAATTATTGAAGGTTTCTACTGAGCAGTGGTAGTCTTCTGTGTGTTCCTGTCTGGAGAACAAACCAAATAGGAACTTCCTAACACTGCAACAGCTGACTTGGAATCAGGAATCTTTGACAGTTCACAGTTTTCTTACACACCCCTATTTGGCCTGCTTTTTTTGCCAGCTACTATGGCAAATGTATTTTGGGGGGCTATGCTTGACAACTTATGCTTAAAGATCCTCTTAGAAACCTTTCTAGTTGGGTAGAAACCCTTCAATTAAAAAGTTGGCAGGTTCTGTGAACCTAGAGAAAAGATTTATTGTCTCTGAATGCTCAAAGTGCAAGTTCCTATTGTGGAAAGGCATTAAAATAACTGAAGATCTATTTTATTGGTAACTCAGAAGGCAAAGTATTTTATTTTTAAACTTCTAAATTTTAAAACAAGACAGCCTAGGTTAAATAATATAGTTTTCCAAAGCTGAATGTGCTCATTTGGAACTCAGTTTTTCTGCTCAAAGTACAAAAACAACTTTCTACAGCCCCTAGGCAGGAACACTACTGTTTTGATGATCTGTGATTAGATGAACTGATCAATCTCAGTTGGTAACATCCCTTTTTTTCCTGTTGGTAAGGGTTTAAAAAATTCTAGAACATACGCATTTTTCTAGTCTTACACCAACAATTTCTTTCCAAATGTCTCCTGAGAGGCATATACCATATACAGGAATCCATCTTCATCCTTCTCACTTTCATACACTTCTGAAATTGGTGTGGATACGCTCACCATGCTGTGCCCATTCACTAACAGGAAGAAGGCTTGATTAGCGTTGAGTTGTAAGCGCCTTCTATTGGAAAGAAATGTGAAAAAAATATTGATACATCAGTAAGTAGGGAGTACATGTAAAAGTGTTATCACCCCTAATGATTTAAAAGTACAGAAATTTTCTAAATGCTGCTTCTGGCAAATTAAAGTGTATACCTTACTGATGATGACTTGATATTCTCACAAAGCACAAAACATTTTCTATGATTATATTCATGATCAATATTAGTGATAATCCTTGATAGGTTATTCTTATTACCTTCTTGAGGCCAGTTTTTAACTAGGATGCTGTCAGAAGAGCTGATAGTGTCTAAGCTGTGAGAAAAACAGTTGAAATATTTATAAACCAAGACCTAAGCCGGTATAATTTATTACCAGTGTACCAAGTCTACATCCTCTTTTACTAGTTTTGCTATACGAAACTTGCAACTTTTCTGATTAAAAGACAACATCCATACTACGTATTATGAAAGGATCAGAAGTGTCATGAGATCCAGCAGGTAAGAAATAGAAAAAACTGAAAAATGAAACATCCTGTCGTCTTATTAGCTTGCATAATTTTAATCAGAACTTATCTGTAAATGTGATAAAGAATGAGAAGTTACCCAAAGAAATTTTTAAAAAGATGATTAAATACCTAATGATCTTGATTAGTTCACTCATGTTGACATGATCAGGTACAAGAAACTTGGTTTTATCCAGGACAGGAAGCTGCTTCTCACCCTTGTATCGTTCTATTATCACCTAGAAACAAAGCCAGAAAGGTGATTTTTAAATAGCCATTAACAGAGAAAAATAAAATACTTCCTATGTTGTAACTGGCACATGCCAAAATGGGGTTTAAAATAGCATGTTTGTTAGTTTCCTCATAGCTCTCCTGTGAAGAGTGATCATTTATTAGCTTAGACTATCTCATAAAATGGTACACAAGAGACAAAGTAGCTGCCTCCAGGGAGGTGAGCAGGATGGCTGCAGGGTGGAGGAAGAAATTGCTATGTATTCTTTTGTTATTTGGAATCATGAAAATATACTACCTAGTCAGAAAAAAGACCCTAAGTTTTAGAAAAACAGAGGTTGGGTAGCAGCTTAAAGAGTAAAGATCTGATTTTGTCCATATCAATTCCAATACCATCATTTCCTGTGATACGGAAAGGAAGCTTAATAAAATTTTAAGATTAATTATGGTAATAGACTCTTTTAATATTAGAGATATTAATATTGTTTCTCTATTCGACATGAAAATAATCCTAAGCCGATATTTGACAAATAAAGATCATGATTAGCTGGTTCCAGAGACAAATTTGCTACTTGAGGATTTCTTTCATTTTGGTAAAATATTCTTGCTATTTCTTTAATGAGTATTGAAGTCAAGAATCTTAAACTATTCAGGAAACAAAAATGGTTTCACATTATGAAATGAAATAAATCCATTAGCTCCTTGCCATACTTCCTTCCTGTAGTGGAAAAAAAAAATTTTTTTTTTTCTAGTTCTAAGCCACTATAAAAGGTCTGACCACATACTTGGTGACCACCTTTGGGGCTCATTATCATGTCTGTACTGAGTACCACAGACATCCTTCTCCAGGTACAGCACCTCTCTGTCCTGTCACAACAATGAGAAGTTGAGAGAGAGGAATGGAAAACCTTTACATGTTTCTTTAGAAGAGGGAAAATAACTTACCTGTACTCTGTTCCACTCTATGGTACCTACATGAGGTTCTGAGTTAAGGCCAAGTCAAGCTGTCATCACCTCCCTTGTTAAAATGAAGAGCTTACCTACACAGCTGTGTATTCAGGACATGCTATCCACAAGAAAGTATCAGTAGGTAGCCTACATCTGCCAGGGGTTAAGTGCTGGCAGAAATCAGAGACAATACAGAAATCTTAGATACTTGGCCCAGGAAGAGGCAGAAGTAGTCAGAGAATGAGAAGAAAAGTTCAGGACCTTAGAATCCTTCCATTGCAGGAACACACAGCAGCCTGGAAAAAATGCTGGGTAAGGTGAACTTGGGTACCTCCTGCTTTCAGTTGTGAATCTGATCTGCTTGGGGAGAAGCTGTTGTAGCTGCTCCCGCTCAACATGTGATGATCGCCATGAAAATACAATCACCTATAAATTACTGGTTTACTTTTCAGTTCTTTTATTTAAAAATTTTTCCTTTAACTCTTCTAATTTGGGAGAGCAGATGTGTAATTCATAAAATAAGGTATTTGACTAGATGTGAAAAACACCTTCTTGATATTTTAGATGATAGGGCTATGGACAGGAGCACAGAAGAAAAAGCCACCATTGGGGAATGAGACTGGAGGGCCAGGGAACTGCTTGTGCCTGTCTGTCCTTCCATCCATCATTTGTCTATCCACCCATCATATTCTCAAGATGTGAGTGGCTATGAGTCTGCTTCTCAAACTTGTTCAGCATGTCACAAGCACATACATGGAAGTACAAATATATAATTTCTGCAAAATAAAAAATGCTGAAACTAGTAGAAAAGATGTTTATTTTTTTATTTTTTAAAGATTTTGTTTTTTTAGAGAGAGGGGAAGGGATAGAAAAAGAGAAGGAGAGAAACACCAATGTGTGGTTGCCTCTCATGCACCCCCCACTGGAGACCTGGCCCACAGCCCAGGCATGTGCCCTGAGTGGGAATCAAACCGGCGACCCCTCACTTCACAGTCTGGTGCTCAATCCACTAAGAGACACCAGCCAGGGTAAGATGACTTTTAATGTACACAGATAGTCACATTTCAAAATGAGTCTATGGAACAAATCCTGGCAGACTGTTGGGCTGGCTATTTGTCTCCAAGGGGTATTATCTGTTAGCAAGTAGACATAGCAGGTACTCAAAAGTAAAGAAAAACCTTAAAATTAAGGCAATTCCCCAGAAGGCTCACTTCTAAGCCATACATTCCTATGTCCAAGGTCATATTGTGAAATTTCCAACCAGTCCAAGCAAAACAGAACATGTCTTTTACTATGGAATCCTATAGGCGTGAAACTGCTGAGCAGCCCGACCTTACTCTCTTTGGTGTACCTTTCAGCCCCAATCCCATGGATCTTTCATCTTATTTCCCCTCCCTTCAGTATGAGATGACCAGTCAGAAAGCCACACTTGAAAGCTTCTGTAGTATTTAGCAGTGGAGTTTCTTTGTAAGTGGTCCATAAAAGTTGTAGGAGGCAACAACCACATACCCAGGATCTTGCAAGCCTTTTCAACAACCATATTGGATGGGATTCCCTCCCTGCTCCCCTCCATTTCACAGATGAGGATATGGCAGCTCCTCTCAGAATTTTACTAACTAGTCTAAGATCACTCAGCAACCCTTACCTTAGGGGGGTCTGAACTCAGCCTCTGCCTGAAACCAAAAGTTCCTTTTGACAATTTCTCTCTAGACCAGTTAGTACCTCAGCAGAAGCCTATTTAAGGTCCACCACCAAAGGACTCAGGGCAGAGAACACTGGCTAGGCACAGCAATGAGCACCTGAGGCTACCCCAACACATGACAAGGAAGATCAGTGTCTTTCCTCCATCTCCTGCAAAGAAGCCAAATGTAAGAAGAGACTTCCCCTGGGCTTCAGTAGTCAGGCCGCCTGGAATATATGGTCATGCTTAAATCCGGAGAGCTATTCTTTTGCCCACAGCAGTAGTCTGTTTTCTTTGGAAAAAAGTGGAATTTCCTTTCATTGATAAAATACTAACAGTTCTAGCCCCTCTCGCCCTGTTCCCCCAAATACATTTGATTTGTGAAGTTTGTAACATTATGACAGCAAACTCAGCCATGGCTGGTGTGGCTCACTGGATTGAGTGCTGGACTGCAAAGCAAAGGGTCAGTGGTTCAATTCCCAGTCAGGGCACATGCCTGGGTTGTGGGCCAAGTACCCAGGAGGGTGCGTGCAAGTGGCAACCACACATTGATGTTTCTCTACCTTCCTTCCTTCCTCCTTTCCCCTCTAAAAATAAAATCTTTAAAACAAACAAAAAAAGACAGCAAACTCAGATTTAAAAAGAAACAATGTGATAAGATCAAAAACTAGATTAAGAGATCTCAGAATTAAGACTCCTGTAGAGTCAGGTAGTTGCACACTGCAGCATTGCACTAAAGTTATACTTAAGCAGTGCGCTCTTCTTCATACATCATTAACCACTGAAACATACACAGGTACCTGAAACCACCTACCGGGATTTTGGTCGGATGCTGCTCTCGGATAAGTCGGACATCCTCTACTCTTTGTTCTGCAACGAGAAAAAGACATAGGCGTTATTACAGGCCCAAATGCAGCTTCTTGCCTGTACTTTTTCTGGTGACTTTCATAGCTGAATTCACCTCTCCTTAGCTGTGGCACAGCAAAGCAGTAGATGCATCTTTCCTTGAACTAAGAGAAACCAAGCACTAACACTTAATATCTGGCAAAGGTTAGTATGTAAGGTCAAAGGCAATTACATGGAAACTAATATGTAATTACATGGCTCTATCAGCTGGTATAATGTAAGACCAGGGAGAAAAAAGAATGCCCTATTTAAGTTTTAAATAGTTTTGTACAGTGTCCAAAATAAAAGTTTAAAGCACAAAGTCAACTGTTGAATACTTTGAGACTATCTCTATATTCTGCCCCTTAATATAATCACTTATTAATATTTTCAAATAATTGTACCATTCTCTGGGGAATAAGGGGTGGGGGGGGGGGAGCTAAACCCAGTTCCCAATAAGGTATAATTGGAGAGACATATATATAAAGAAATAAATACATGAACTTATGATTAAGATGGCATTAATTAAAATCTTCTAAAGCTCTGGCTGGGTAGCTCAGTTGGTTAGAGCATGGTCCTGATACACCAAGGTTGAGGGTTCGATCCTTGGTCAGGGCACATATAAGAATCAATTAATGGATACATAAATAAGTGGAACAAATTGATCTCCCCCCCGCCGCCAGAATCAATAAATTTTTTTAAAAACCCTAAAAATCATCTTGATTAACTATGGTAGGACTCATTCTAATGGTATTTGCAAATAAATGATCAATGTCATGAACTTCCTGATAAAGTGCTTATACTGGTGGTGCCAAAAAAAAGATGCTATGAATTTATTCTAACGTCATTGCCAGTTTGGTTTGGATTAAAAAATAAATTTTAGTATTCTTCATAAAATCTACTGAAATAATTCCCATATTCAAATATAAACCTATAAGATCTATTTCTATTTTCCCACCCAACATTTCTAAATCAGCTCCTAAGATAAATTACTAAATGTAAACAAACATATTTGCTATAGACAAAGAAGACTGCAAACTCATGGGTTCCTACCAGTGCATTCTTTCTTTTTTTTTAAATCCTTACCTGAGAACATCTTTTCATTGCTTTTTAGAAAGGGAAGGAGGGGGATGGGAGGAGAGAGAGAGAAAAACACAGATTGCCTGCTTCTCATAGGATCCCCAAACTGGGGATTGAACCTGTAACCTAGGTATATGCCATGACCAGGAATCAAACCTGCAACCTTTCGGTGTATGGGATGATGCTCCTACCAACTGGGCCCAATGCATATTTTTAATCAATATATGAGAATAAACAAATTTAGCTATTGTTAATAATAAACTTAACCTAGTGGTTTTCACCTGTGATATTATTTATAACAAGAAATATATATTTGGTCCTGGCACAGAGCTGCCAAATCCCTTGGAATTTCTTAAGTGATAGGAGTGATATAGATGTCTTTCCTTATTCATAACAAGTGCCTTTCAACCACACCTGAATTTATGTTAATGTGGTAACTTTGGGAAAGTGTTTGAGGGTAGGGGCTGGTTGCCAGGGGTACCAATAGTGATTAGAGGGTTGAAATTCTCAGCCCCACTCTGTGACCACCTGAGAGGGGAAAGGAGGACAAGAGGCTAAATCACACCAATGACCAATACTTAAATCATTTGTGCCTATGTAAGGAAGCTTCCATACATATCCGAAAGGATGGGTTTGGAAAGCTTTCAGGTGGCACACACCAAACGGACAGGGAGTCTTCTGGACCTCACCCTGTATCTCTTCATAGGCTTGTTCATTCTTATCCTTTAATAACTTTTGTCATAATCTGGTAACCTAGTAAGTAATTGGTTATCCTGAGTTCTCTGGCGACTCTGGCGATTTAATCAAACATGAGGGGGCTGTGGGAACCTGTGATTTGTAGCCAGCTGGTCAGAAGCACAAGTTAAAAACCTGCACTTGCAATTAGTGGTTGAAGTGTTAGTGGGGGAGGGGCACTCTTGTGGAACTGAGCCCTCAACTTGTTGGATCTGAGGCTATCACTGGGTAAATAGTGTTAAATTGAGTTATATTGTAGGACACCCAGCTGAACTGCTTGGTGGGTAAAAAAAACCCATGTCTGGAGTCACAAGGAAGCAGTGTTTGGGTAGGATACTGACGGTTGAGGAAACACACAGGAGGAGTTTTCCTTTACATTGTCCATTGAACCTTTCTCTGTTTCTGAGAGTGTGGATTCCTCTTCATTGCTCCAAGACCTGCCCCTAAGAGTCTCCTAGCCTAGAAAAGGTGCTCAACCATCTGGGCTTAGCTATCAGCCCTATTCACAACAAAAACCTCTATTTTGTCAGGGTAGATTCTTTCAGAGGCTAAAGGAAATCAGAATTTAATTAACTCACTTCAGCAAATGGATGGCAATTCTTAATATACCCTAAATATATTCTATATTTAAAACTTTATCCTAATCTAAAAGTGGAAACATTTAGGCACAAGGGGAAGAGATTTTTTTTACACAAAAACACAGGTTTATTTTGGTAAATGAAAGAAAAAACAAAATAGACTCTAAATGTGGAGCTTCAAACTAGTGTCAAAAGTTTTCTTTATCTTGATTTATCCCTAAAATATGGCCCTAGAAGGAAGACAAAAATGATTATTTTTATTAAAGACAAGTGTTTTCTTTAAGGTGCAAAGAGTACCATAGGAATGTCTTTAGTGTCTTGGCCCAGTGGTGCTGAAGCAATTAAATATGACATATGCTGACACCTTCCTCTTTTTGATTAGACAGTTATATTCAGAGGCTAACGGTACATTTGAAAGGAGCACACCAACAACACAGATCAAAGGCACATAAAAAGAGCAATTCATTTACTAAATGATTTTCTTAGTGCTTTAATGATCTGTTTATCATCTGCCTTCCTCAACAAACTGCCCCTGGCAGTCAAGGACCCAGCTCCAATCATGTCTATATTCCCCCAGGGCCCAGGCTTACACATAGAAGATGGTTAATAAAGAAATGTAAAACGGAAATACTGCTCCAAATGCACATCAAGATATGCCTCCCTGGATTCCTTTTTTTCCTGTCTCTAAGAATCCTGATAAGCCTTACAAACAGATAAAAATAGATAGGAGTCTAAGGTACCTTATTTTACCAACACATCACCTGCAAAGTTGCTTTGAGAGTCCCCAGAGCATTTAAAGTAAAACTTCACATACATAGATTTTCCAGGATTTATTTCACTAAGTGAAACAGAAGCATAATAAATATTTCCTCAACCTGTCTATAAATCATAAACATAACATCCAACCTATCAATGAGTGCCACAGCTTGTTAAGTTCATGAAGTGCTACCTAGGTTTTGATATCAATCTCACCCTCCTGTCAACCTATTAGAGCTAATATTCTAGACCAACACATAAATTTCCCCTGACACATGCAAGCCCTTTAATTATCAATGGAGAAGCTTCAAGACCTAAGTTTACCATTGAATCTCAGCAGAATAGTGTCTGGGAAACAGTTCTGATTTTAAATAAACTGGCCAACCCCAGAAGAAAATGGAGTGAAATTCTTATACCGTTTGGGATGACTGAATCCAAAATTGTTTGTTCAAATACAACTTTTTTTAAAAGATTTTATTTATTTTCAAATATGGGGAAGGGAGGGAGAGAGGGAAAGAAACATCAGTTGGTTGCCTCTCACAGCCCTGCCAACCAGGCATGTGCTCTGACTGGGAACTGAACCAGCGACCTTTTGGTTCACAGGCTGGTGCTCAATCCACTGAGCCACACTAGCCAGGTCACTCAAATACAACTTTTGAAGTCCATTATAGTTTTCAAATCATCTGAAAAGCTATACTATGCATCTTGATTGAGAGTGTTGGTCCACTTCATGTATTGGAAATGACGGCTACCTACAGAGGATAGAATTCATCCCAGAAGGTCAGAAGTACAAGTCCAGATTCTGCCACTAGGTGGACCATGATCTTCACCTCTCTGGGCTCCACCCAGCTTCTTCAGCTGCAAAAGGAAGGGGTTGCCTGGGGTGGACCCTAAGATACAATTCAACCCTTTCAATTATGGTGTATCAATAGAAGTATAACAATTTTAAATTAACCTAAACTCACTCACTTGGAAAGAAGTGATTAAGCCAACTGGGGCTGGCCTTAGAGCCTATAAAGAGGTTCTTGCCAAAGAATTGGTTCTCCTCATTTACTGTGCTAAAAATCTCTGAAAACTGTCAACTGTCAGTGCTGTTATGATAATCAGGAGCAAGGGAAGGCAGAAATCATTAAAAGATATTTGATACTTTTCTGCAAAATTACTACTAAAGATATCTTAAAATGGCAGGGAGGAATGGTGAGCTAAGGGAAGAGCCCATATACAATATATGGGGTGGGCAAAAGTAGGTTTACAGTTGTTTGTATGTGGAAAGACGTGGGTTATGATTATTACAATAATTTTATTAACTCAAGAGAATGTCTTAATGGCACAGTATGATACACTGGGGGGCGGGGGGAATGGGGCATTCCTGCTTGTTTACTCCCAGGGCTACAGGTTCCAGGTGAAATCCTTCTAATTCATTAGAAAATATTTTTTCAGAATAACCTAAAAATACTTTAAGCAAAGGAGAGTACAGTTGTAGTCATTGTAGTCATGAGAAAATGGGCATCTTTCCCACACAAATGTCCCCAGTTAACTTTTAAATGCCAGAGTCAGTAAGGACGGAAGCCAGATACAGCAAATCTGCTTCAAATGCTGCTCTCAGGGTTTCATAAAAGCTAAACAATATTAAGAGTTCACTAAGGTCACTGAAGAAAAAATTTCTAACAAAAAAGGGGCATCTTAAGTCTAGTTCACCAAACTGCCTTCAAGAGGTTGCCTGAAGCACGCTGGGCAGGCCAACATGGATTTCATTTACTGAAACTTCTCAGGCACAAGAAATCAAATACTTATCAATAATGAGATCTAGAAACCCATATCCAAGCTCGAAGGAACGCTCACCTCTTCTAGAGGCCAGGAATCTAGACAAAGGTATCACTGCTTTAGATCTAAAGGAGATTAGCCCAGGGAATTCTCTGTGCGAGGGAAGGAACCTGGTACTTCCCTACCCTACCTGCCCTCCCCGAGTCGCTACAAACTAGCCCTTCGGACAGACATCGACGGAAGTCACTCGTTATTGCAGAATTTTCTTGCTTAAAAGGAGCACTAATTGCTTCTTTCTCGTCATTTTCGTGGAGGAGTAAATAACGTGATGTTACTTTCAATTTCAACCAAATGCCAGTAAACCTAGGTTGGGTCTGTCGTCTTAAAGTGGTAGAGAACTGATTTCATTTATTGCTGGTGTCAAACTAAGAACGTACCCGTGAGCCAAGAGAAAGAACGACCCGCCCCAGCTCTCCTGCCACAAACAGGGACACGATGTCCCGGCATGTCCGTCTGTGCTGGCCGGTGCAGGGGTGCAGACACAGTGCAGATTCGGGGGCCCACCAGCGTTCGCTCCTCTCAATTAGGGCACTGACGTTCTTTTACTGCCCACACGCGATCAGGACAACTTACCTGGAGATGATTCACGCCACCAACCACTTCAAAGGACCTGACACTGCCGGCGTCCAGGACAGCCTCCCCACGAAGGGACATTCTTACAGGGGTTTGCGCTTTTCGGACGGACCGTCACCCCTGCCTCGGCGGCGCCCCGCCCCCGACTGGAGGGTTGACGAGGGGCCGGAGGCGACCCAGCACCTCCGCGCAAGCGCGCCCTCGCGGGACCAGGTGTGAACGCCCCGGGCCCGGCTCTCTCACGCCCCGCCTCCCCCCACCTTCCCCACCCCCCCGCCCCGCTGCCCTCTCAGCCCTCCTCACAGGCCCTCCCCGGGAACCCTAGGCCCGTCGGCCGCCCGACTTCGGCGCGTCAGGCCCCGAGCCCCACCCGAAACACCGCGGGCCCGGCCCCTCGCCCCCCAGCCTTCGGCCACCCAGACCTCAGCCCCGCGGCCCCTAGCCTTCAACCTGCCCGGAGCGTGATCCCCGCCACCCTGGCACCTCTGCCTTACGGTGCCCGTCAGTCCCCCAGGCCGCCCCCAGGCCGGCCAGCCGTCTCGGCTCCCTAGCCCTTGCGGGCGTCCGTCAGTCCCCGGTCCTGCCGCCGTTTGGGCCGCACATCTGTCCCGGGCCTGGCCCTCCGTCAGCTCCCGGCCGCCAGCTCGGCCCCTCAGCCCTCTCCGGGCCCCGTCAACACCCGGCCCCCCCAGCCCGGCCCGCCGCCTCGGCCCCTTGAGTCGTTCCGGGCCCGGCCGCGGCACCCACCGAAGGTGCGACGCTGTTTGAAGGTCTTCTCCGACGGCATGGCGCGGGAGGCTTGGAAGGGACGGCGAGGCTGGGGGTCCCAGCAGCTTCAGGTGGCGGCGGATGCGACAGTGGCGACAGCGACTCCTCTTGTGTCTCCTCAGCCCGCAGCCGCGTCAGGTGACCAGCGCACCGCCCCTGGAGGCGGGGCAAAGGGCGGCCTCTGCAGCCGCCATGTCGTGCGTGGCGGAAGGGGGCCCGCGGCGAATGTCTGAGTTGGCAGCCCCAAGTGAGGGCGTTTCTTCGTGGCCGGCGGGAGGGAGCACGAAACGGGACCAGGCAGCCCGCCTGGCCCCCGCCCCGCCGAGAGGTGTGGGTGCGCCCCCCGGAGTTCTGTCGCGTCGTGCCGTCCCTAATGGCTTAGCTGCTTTGAGTGGTGCGCTAGTGTTCCCAGCGCTCCGTGCTGGTGACTCAACGATTCCACCTGAAAAATACAGAACGTTTGTGCTCCTACTTCACGAGTACCACCGACCTAGGAGCTGCTGGTTATTTCTGAGGTGTAAGCCTTTTGTTTTCACTGGCCTTCCACATCAAGTGTATTCAGTTGTGGGTGTGTGTTTTACTTTTTAAGAATCTCCACTGGTAACTTCTGTCACACGTCGTCCGAACGAGGAGAGAACTGCAACTGGTTAATTCAGGCTTTGTTTACTAGTATTGAACTTGGAAGAAAGGCTAAGGATAATCGTTGGGGCCTAAGACCTTCCTGCGGGGTGGATTCCTCTTTTGACCCGTCGCTAACAGCCCTTAGGTGACTTCTGGAGGGGCCCTGGAGCGTTTTTGATTCATTTGTACTTGCAACGGGACTGGAGAAGAGAGCCTGCCCAACATCATTAAGGCTGATTCCATTTAAGGAGGATATTCCAATCTCTTAAATACTGAATCTAACTCATTTCAAACACTAACTAGCTGAGCAACCTTGAATAAGCCATTTTTTTAACTCTCAGACTCGGGTAAAGGGGCGATATCTTAGAACTCCAAGTGCTTTTTGCGGAGTAAATCAAAGTGACCTGGAGCATCTAGATCACTCTACAAGGTTTAGTTATCAGTTCAGTTATTGCCCATCTTAACATTTGCCGAACATACATCTAAAAACAGCACTTGATTCTTTGGCTGGTTTTGCTCTTTAATATGTAATGTTTTGTAAGATTGGCATTAGTTCCAGGCTCCCCCCGCCCCACCTTTTTAGTTTGAAAAACCGTTTCCTATATGCCTATTTGATAAAGTAATTGGATTGTGATAATATACATTATTATACAAGCATTCAAGACTTTCTAAGATACTTTTCTCAAAGTGGTTTTAATACATCTGGGATTTCTTTCTTTATAGAGAAGCAAGTATGTCGGAGAACCTCGTGTAATTAATTATTCTCCACCACCAGAACAATATTAGTTGCAGCTCATTATCCTACCATTGTCTACAATAGGACAGTGCAATTGTGCGTGTGTCACTTTATTTCCCGGGTTCTTTTTCCCTTCCTGACACAATTCATTACTTTGAAAATCTGATAGTACTTAGACAGTTTATGTAGTTTCCAAAGTTCCAAAGGAAGGTTTTAAAATTCCAAGTGTACTACATTGGTTGTTTTGTGTTTATTCTGTGAGGATTGAAAAAATTATATATCCAGTAAGTGCTTATTAGGTACCTACCTTGTGCCAAACACAAAATGATCAGTTTAAAGTCAAAAAGGATTTTTTTTTTTTTTTATGATACTAAGGACTGGCTGCTGAGTGCTTTCTTGGCTTAGTGCTGCTCTGTAAGAAATGGACTTCTTGTTCTCTTGCTGGACAACTGTTTCAAACGCAGGAGGAGGAGGGGACTCCATTATCTGGCATATGGAGGTAGGGGGAGGGGAAGGAGGGTTTCATATTTTCCTGGTCCCTAAGGCATCCATACCAAATTGCCAGAGGTCTTGGGTTCACTGTCATAGCTTCAAGGGATTAGCCTCAAGGACTGTGCTAGTGATTGGACAGGATTACTCTTTGTGATTTTTAAGTACTGAAGTCCACATTTATAGCACTCGTTATAGTCCTGCCGCTAACAAATTCCTACTGGAATCTAAAACCACATATCCCTACATACTTCTCAGGAAATTATCCAGTACAGTTGGTGTGTAAAGGTGTCTCATAAACATAATCTCCATTTTAGACTAGAATATTTGAATAAATAATAAATTACTTTAAAATGTATTACTTTAGGCCCTGGCTGGGTAGCTCAGTTGGTTAGAGCATCATCCCAATACACCAAGGTTTTACGTTCTATCTCTGGTCAGGGCATTTACTGCAAGTAACTGATGAATGCATAAATAAGTGGAAGAACAAATCAATGTTTTTCTCTTTCTCCCTCCCCCTTTCTCTCTCTCTAAAATCAATTTAAAAAAAAGAATAATTTCATGTAACTTTTGAAATCAAGTGTGCTTAAGTATATGGAGAAAAATTTCTTGTTCCCCAGACTACAATTTAATAGAAGTTTGATGTAGTTAACAATATTCGGAGTGGTAAATTAATACTATTCATGAATTATTTTATGTTAGCTAATATAAGGATAATATTATTTTTAGGTGAATAACATAAATATTACTGTTCCTTTAGAACTATACATATGAAGGGAAAAAGCAAAAGCACATCTTTCATTTAAATTTATTTAGTGTTTTTTCCAGGAATCTCATGGTGCTTTTAAACTATCAAATAATCACTGTAGAAAGCCAAGCAGTGCCAGTTTTAAGTAACTCTCACCTATTCTTTTTTTCATAACATTAAATGACCATAATCATGGGGGACATAATTTAACTGATAAAAAATAAATGTGACATCCCAGCATGAGTGATGTAACATGATTTCCATGGCTGTAAATCATGCCGTCTAGCTGTTTCTAAGAATCTGTACAATGGGGCAGGAAACACTACCCTGCAGTCTAGAACACAGAAGGGTTATATTTGCCACACTCAACATGGAGGGCAAGTCACACTGAGAAGTAGTTCACCTCCGCAGGCCCGCCTGGCCTGCCCCACCTCTCCTCTTCCTGATTGGAAGGCATATTTCACCCTGGAAGTTGTCTGGGCCACTATTGGTCAGCTGTCCAATCAGTCGTGTGTCGTGTGTCATCTCTTTGCTCTTTAGAACAAGTAAACAAACAAGTATTGCTCAAGAGGAGTGCAGGAGCTATTCTCAGAAAGGACCCAGTCAGGAGGATTTTGGAGTTGGCAGGCCCGCGGTGCGGCTCCGTGGGAGTGTCTTCGCCGGTTCCCGGGAGGTTTCGGGAGCCAGCGCTTCCTCTCCCCTGAAGCCCCGCCTCTGGGGTACGACTCCAGAAGAGAGCAACCTAGTGCACTTCGGAGCGCCACTATGAACCGCTCACAGAACCTGACATTATTTCTTAAATGAGTGAATAACAACCGATGGAACTGGGTGACGTTCCACAGGTTTTTTGTCGGTGTTTGCTTGCTCGTTTAATTCTAACATATTTCAAAGGGTTGCTGTTTTTCCAGCTTTTCCCCATATAAGGGATGTAACTGTTCAGACTCTCATTTTAAACCATGAACCTCTTGTTCAGCCTGTGAATGTTTTCCCTCCTTCCCATTCACCTTGACTGTTTCTGCTGAGCAATGATAAGATGGCATTTTTCACATCTGGATTCTGAGAAACAGCATGAGTGAAGTTAACATTGTTTACTACCAGTTGGAAAATGTCTTCCCTGCTCTGTATTCTACTTATTTCCTTAAATGTTATCAATTCTCACTAACAAAGAGTCGATTATTGTATTCTCATAGTGTTAAAACAAATGATCTCTTCTACCAAGTTTTTCCTCATTTTAGTATGAATGCATCCTCCTTAGTGTTGTTTGCAAAGGATACAGTTCTGTATAAGGGATTGTACAACTGTTCAAGGACACATAAAGTTTCCAGGGTTCACCCTGTAATAGTTCTCTGCTATATGCAGTCTTTTCCCTCTGTTTCCCTTACAGCAACATGGATCACCCAAACTCTAACAACTGTCTTTTTCTTTCTGTTCTGGTGGTCTGCACCAACTCAGTCCTTCAGCATCTTAGTGAGTTATTGCACACAGATTTCCTGCTGTAAAGAATATATAGACATACCTTTTAAATGTATAGCTGCATAATTCAAATTATGAACATGTAATAGTTTAACCATTCTACTAAAGATGGAAATTGGAGCAAATTATTTTGTACATTTTAATATACTCTAAGCTCCTCTAGAAGAAAATTATATTTTATTAATAGGACCTAGTAGGGAATAGATATATATATATATATTTTAAAAACTGACTGAAATGTAACAGCAGCCAGGATCATGCTTTAGAATCTATGAATCCACACAGAACATACCACCTAGGCTAGTCAGGCATTCTGTAAATATTTATTATATTACTTGATACATTGCTGAAATACTTCCTAGCTTGGATGGTGATAGCCCACCAGTCTTCTCTACATCTGTTTGGTTCATCTTTTAGCCAGTTTATTTGTTTGTTTGTTTTCATTCAACAAACATTTAGTCAGCAAACATCCCTTGATTACATGAAACATTAGTCTATCATGTTACAAGGGATACATTAATAAAGTAGGTGCCAAAGAAAGCAAGTGTTTACAATAAAACGATATGATGGTGCTGTAATAAAGGAGCCATCCTTCCTAGAAGGGGGTGCCATTAGAGGACAAGGAGGAAGAGGGTTGGTTTTAATGGCACAGGCTGGGGTGATGGGACTTCCTGGCAGAGGAGACAGCTTGAGCTAAGTGACAGAGATGTGACAGGGCATGGTGAATTATGGCTAAGGAATCTGGTGGCTCCCACTGAAAGATACGTGTGGGGAAGGAGAGGAAGCCAGGCTGGGATGTTAGGACAAGCTAGTGAGCTACTTTGTGTGATGTGAGGAGGAGTCAGTGGGCCTCCTAGGTGCTTTTAAACAGGATGAGTCTGCTTTTGTTTGCCACTGGTTAGTGAGTACTGGTAACTGCACAGAGTGGACTGAAGAACCTAGGTGCAGGGAGGTCACTCTGCTGTTGTTTTCAATTGTGTGGACCCGAGATGGTCAAAATTTGAACCAAGGTACTGTTAGTTTTGTCAGAAGATGCACTTCCCCATTTATGGGATTCGGTGGACTAGGGCAGGCTCCCTCTTTTCTGCTTAGAGATTTCCTTATGGAGGTGATAGTGGATAGCCAGCGATTGGTGGAGACTGCCCAGGGGAACTGGCAAGCTTACTATTTTTTTTATTAGATTAGCAAGACCCCGCACTCGACCAGAAACACTGGGGTAGCCGGCGGATTCTTAGCTTCCATTTAGATTCCGGGCAACTTCTCCAGCCCTTCCGGTCATTGAAGTCAGTCTCGACCAGAGAGGAGTTGGCTCCACACCCCCAGCCCTCCTCTCTGGGAACAACTAACAGCAACAGTTTCTTGTTACCGGCAACTGAAGGTGAAGCCACTGTCACAGGTGGCTTTACAGATTCTCTAGAACACACCTGCCCTGGAGCACAGTAAACAAGGTAACTAGGGTATAACGAGATCCCTGACAGATGACACAGGATTTACCCGCTAACATGATTTCCCCTTTCCACTGTAATGAGGGCAGAAATGAGTGAATGCTAATTTTTAGATAAAAGAGCTGACAGGCACAATTCAGGGTTCTATTTTGCTTACCTAGTTTGTAGGGCTTTAGCAGTTGGCACTAGTTAGTTCCTCCTGCCACTTAATGACGCCTTCCGTGTGTGCAGCAGTCAGTCCTTGGGGGTCATCGGGAGCTCCCCAGGGGGTGGGGGTGGGGTTTCCTGGAGAGGAAGGTGTGCTTGGGGAATACTGGGGGCCAGTGCTTCCGGCTGTCCTCAGGGGAAGGCCCTGGGGTTGTGGTGGGGGGGTCCTCGAATCCATGGTGGGGAGGTGGGAGGGCGGTCCTTGGGGCCATCCTCGGGCCAGCAGACACGTCTGAGGGCATTCCAGGGTGAGGAGCTGCCTCCACGAGCCCGGTCCGTGCAGCGGGGAGCGCGTCAGTCCCATACTCTGGAGGTGGCGAGTTTGGTCCTCACATGCGGCAGCGCGCCGTTCTGCTGCCCACCGGCATGTCTTCGGTTGGGAAAGGGCAGCCGTCGCGCGCATGTGGGTGACATTCTTTACCTGGGCTCGGTCCGGGAGCGGGACAGGAGGCCCTCAGACCTCCGGTGAGCTGAGGCCAGGGCCGCTAGGGAGTCACTGGGCTAGGAGAGGGCCCGGGGCATCGCCCCCCGAAACAGGCAGATGGCCCCTCCGGCAGGCGGGGCTCGCCGGGGCGGGTCCTCTGTGGGTCCCTCCTAGGGGGCGGGGCCGAGACGAGATAGCAAGAGGAGCAGGGTCGGGGGTTGGGGGGGGGGGGGGGATGGGGCTAGACTCTAAGTGGGCGTGACTAGGCCCTGAGGGGCTGGCTGGGCTCTCCGGTGGGGTGGGGCGGGGCGGCTCACAGATGCGCGGCGCAGGCGCGGCAGCAGCGGCTTCTTGACCGGCATGGCGGTGTGCGCTCGTCTTTGCGGCGTGGGCCCTTCGCGGGGATGCCGGCGTCGCCAGCAGCGCCGGGGCCCGGCGGAGACGGCGGCGGCCGACAGCGAACCGGACACAGACCCGGAAGAGGAGCGCATCGAGGCAGGCGCGGCGGCGCTATACGGTGCGGGGAGCGGCCGGAGCGCGAGCCCCTCGCCGCCCCCGCGCTGCTCGCTGCTGGAGCTGCCTCCCGAGCTGCTGGTGGAGATCTTCGCCTCGCTACCCGGCACGGACCTGCCCAGCCTGGCTCAGGTCTGCACCAAGTTCCGTCACATCTTGCACACCGACACCATCTGGAGACGGCGCTGTCGGGAGGGTGAGTGCGTTGTATTGGGGTACGGGCCTGGAATGGGGGCTCGGAGGTCCCCAAGGGCCCTCGACAGGGACATGCCATAGATCGGGGGACCCTATGGGCAGGGTTTCGGCTGGGTGAAGGGTTCGGGCCTCGAGGGGACTCGGAGTCTCTCGAGTCTGCATGGGCCCTGGATGGGGTTCTGACACAGATGTGGGTTCCAAGGGGTGGACCCGGCTGTGCGGGGTAGGGGGGGGGCCGCAGCAGATCCGGGATGCGGGGTGCGGGTGAAGTATAGTTCCCGGTGGACATCGGGGTGCTCAGATAGGAGTGAGTGGTCTCTCAGCTGCCGGGAGAGGACTCAGCGGAGCCAAGGGAAGTGAAGTGAGCGGGGGGGGGGGGGGGGGGGGGGCTAGCATGGGGGGTGGTCTCTTCTAGGTGTGAGACCCTGGAGTTTTAGGCCGACCTCCGCTGATAATCCGCCGGCGCACTCCGAGCCCCCAGCCCTTTGGGAGTGTGTGAGGGGGAAGTTGAGGAGAGCATGAGTAGTTAGGGAGTAGAGGGGCTGAGTGTTTGGAGGGTCTCCTGAGGAAAGGACTGGGTCTGTGGACAGGTGAGTGGAGCCCGGCAGTGTCAGAGGTGTTGCTGTCCACCTCAGGGATGCTCGTGGTAGTGGTGAGGGTAATAAATACTTAGTTTTGTAACAAATCCCAGGAGGAAAGGTTTATTTAATCCAGAGTGCAAGACTCTCTGCGTTTAAATGTTAGAAGATCTTTGATGTTCAATAAGCTCTCATATATTGGTAAACAGGATAGGCAAGAAAAATCTAAACAACGCAGAACTGCAAGAGGATGAAAGTAAGAATCATCAGGGAGCATTTGAGATCTTGCTTCCTTGGCGTATGTCATCAAGGTGGCTCAAATTGATTTTTTTTTTTAAAAGTAAGAATCATCAGAGCCCCTACAATCAAAGATAAACTCAAACTTTTGGAAAATGCCTCTCCATATACAAATATAAAGTCATGTACATGTTTTCATTTAAATGAGATCGTACCATATATATTCTCTTAGAGACAGTTTAGTATAAAAAAGCTTTATGTTACTCCCCTTGCATACATATGCCACATGCTAGTCCCTTACTGATAGATTTTTAAATTTGCTATTTTTTCTTGTCATAAACAGTGCTATCAAGACTGCCTTTGTGCATTTCATAGGAACTTATGAGACTTACATCTATCTTCTACCGCTTCTGAGATTATCTTCTTAGTGCACGTTTCCCAAAGTGGGGTTGTGGGTAGTAGGATGTGCACATTGATAACACAATGGTATGCATTGCCCAGTTGTTGGAATTTGAACTACCAGGACGTCTTCATGAGAAAGCCTCCTCTCTCAAATCCTCCCCAGCAAGGGAATCAGCCAGTCATCTTCTCTCTTCTATAAACCTCAATGGTCAAGACTCTGGATTTGTAGTCATAAGGGCAGGTTGTGTATTCACTGAGATCCTGGATAGGCTGCTTCACCTGCCCAAATGCTAGTGGGAAGTGCTGGCCCATAGGATTAAATGAGGTGATTTGAGGTTTAAATGAGACGATACATGTGAAACCCTCACCCTTTAAGTGGTAAGTGTTTAGTTATCACAGCTTTTGGCCATTCTTATTTCATCTTCTATGAATTTCTTATTTGTGGGTTGTTTTTTTTTGTTTTGTCTCTTGTCCTCTTAGGGAGTCTATTATCACTTTTTTTTTTATCCTCACCCAAGGACATTTTTTTCCTATTGCTTTTTAGAGAGAGAGAAAGAGAGACAGGAACATCGATGTAAGAAAGAAACATTGTTTACCTCCTTGTATGTGCCATAACCAGGTGTCAAACCCATAACCTGGGTATGTGCCCTGATTTAGAATAGAACCAGTGACCTTTGGTTCATGGGATTACACTCCAACCAACTGAGCCACACCAGCCAGGGCAGGGTGTCTGTTGTCTTGCAAATTTGTAGGAACTCTTTGACTATTAGCAATACTAACCTTTTGTCATATATATGGCAAGTAAATTTCCTTTGACATTTTAAAAAAGAGGCAAAAAAGTTCCACTTTTTCTTTCTCTGTGATTTTCATTTGCTTTGTTTTGTGTTTTGTATTCGTGTAAGACCCAGATTTAGCCCTGGCTGGGGTGGCTCGGTGGATTGAGTGCCGGCCTGCAAACCGAAAAATTGTTCGTTGGATTCCTGGTCAGGGCATTTGCTTGGGTTGTGGGCCAGGCCCCCAGTTGGGGGCATGGGAGAGGAGACTAATCAATGTATCTCTTGCATATTGATGTTTCTCTTCCTTTCTTTCTCCCTCCCTTCCCTTCTCTCTAAAAATAAATAAAATCTTTAAAAAAAAAAAAAGACTCAGATTCATCACAGATGTTCCATTGTGCTTTGAGGAGTTTCTCTATCAGTCAAGCAAACCTGTGTTGTGGTCTCTTGGGAACTGTAATGTACCTGTGTGTAGTTCACCTCTAGGAATGGAAGGTAACAGAAGACTCTGGTGTAATTAGAAAACTCAAAGGCATGTTACAGGGTCAAATTAACTGGAGTTTTAACTCAAGGTAAGTTCCTAGAATTTTTAATGGAAATATAAAAAGTCCCGATGAAGATATAGAAGGAAGATGAGGAGCGGACATGGAAGAACCCTTGAGTCCTTCCTTTCTCAGTGCACTTCTCAGCTCAGCTCTCTTATTAACAACAGACATGATAGTGGAATCCAGGCATCTTGTTCACCCAGGTAGTCTGACATACTCGGGGAATTTTCATTTTGAGAAATTAAAAAAATGAAAGATAATAATGATAAAACAAGCATATTCCTATCCTGCCCTCCCCCCCAAAAGTCTTTTGTCATATTTGCTTTTGATTCCTCTACCATGTTTTAGGAACATGTCTCAGCTGAGACTCAAGTCCCTTCTGATCACCACTCTCCTTCCCATTCTAAGAAGCAGCCACTGTTGTGGTTTTAGTTTACTTGTATATAAATATACGTGTATACATTCCCAGCATTACATTGTTTTGTGATGGTTTAAATTTTAGTGCTGTATCATACTGTAAGTATTGTGCGTCTTCTTTTTTCTCCTGTCAACCTGTGTTTCTTTCAGTTCTGTGCATGTTAATACATTTAAGTCTGGTGAAGTCTTTTTAAATGCTATGTGCTGGTTCATAATATGAAGAAGCTACACTTTTGTTCCTTACCTTATTTTTATTTTTATTAAACCCAGTGTGACAGTGAATAATCTCATATGTCTTTCCTTGGATGCATATAAATATGTCTTTCCTTGGATGCATATAGTCCATATAAAGGACTATATCCAGAAGCAGTGTAGTTGGGCAGTGGGCTTTGAGATTTGCAGTTTTACTGGATACTATCCAGTTATTTCCTGGAGTGATTTTACCACTTTACAAACCTGTCACTGGGGCATGAATAGGCTAGTCACAAAATATGAAATACAAATGCTCAGTATGCATCATTACAAAGTAGCTGCCTTCTGTGATCCAAGTTATCTCATTTAATCCATTATCTGCTAGATTCTCTCTAATGTGAATGATGCATCTTTAGAAATGTGTGCCACCAGTGGCCCAGTGGCTCAGTTGGTTGGCACATCCTCCTGTGCACCAAAAGGTTGTGGGTTCAATTCCCGATCAGGGCACGTAACCCAGGTTGTGGGGTTATGGGTTTATTCCCCTCATTCCCCCTCCCTCTTTCTTTCTCTCAAATAAAAAAACATGTCCTCAGGTAAGGATTAAAAAAAAAAAGTGCACCAGTCTGAAGGAGAAGCAACATCTCATTTTAATTTGTGTATACCTGATGACTAGTGAGGATGCACAGTTCAAAAATATAATTACTGGTCATTTGGATTTCTTTTATTTGCTTATCCTTAATCTTTGCCCTCTTTTTCTGTTGTTATTTTTGTTAATGATTTGTGGATTTTATTTATTTAATCTGGATAGATTTCTGTTTAATACATTGCAAAACATTTTCTTGTCTATAGTCATTTGTTTTTTAACGTCATTTATAGTGACAGTGTGCAACATAAATCAGAATTACAAAATTTTAACTTTGGGTTTAAGTAATAATTGCCATTCCAAGGTTATGAAGGTGGTCGATAGCTAGATTTCAGTTTCACTATTTCACCCAATAGCTTTAATTTCCAGCTTATCTAGTCAATAATCGGATAATCCCATGTGGTATTCACAGGTGTCTTGTAAGTTAGTATAATTATGATTGGGTTTGTATTTAAGAATAGTTGTGTGTGAGACAAGGGTGGTCTTATTTCTTTGAACCTCAAAACTTCACCTTTCTGGTACTAGACATTTGGGTATAGTGGATATTAATAAGGCCAAAGTCAAGCCCCTGTGGGTACAAAACCAAAGCTGCCCCAGCCTTGGTGAATAGGAGACAAGGTCTCAGGCTGATTGGGGAGCTGGATGGTCCTAGCTCATCAGGTTTCCTGAATAGCCTTCAGGTCTGGTCTTGACTGGGGTATAAGGGTGGCTCCAGTTTTTCGTGTCTTGGGAGGGTGAGTGAGACTAGTGGGTTTGAGTGCTTACTACTCAGTGTTTACGTGTTTGCTTTCTGTATTTATATAATTGGATTTTCCAGGACAGGAAACAAGCCACAAAAAAAATGGGAGTGGGAAGGAGGATGCCACTCACCTGTTGTCGCTTCAAAGCATTTGGGGCTGTGATTAACGCTCAGGGCGCCCTGAGCCGACAAGGCGTGCACATTTAATAGCTCCTCCTAAAATGATAGGATGACTTTGGGGCAGAGGGGAGGGAGGTGCACTAGAAACTTCAAATGAGGTATCTTTTTGTAATGTTTTGTGAGAAGCTCACAATTTCCAGTGTTCTAGCAATAGTAAGTTAGCAATAGTGAATCAGTTATTTTTATAGAACTTTTTATAGGGCCTTTCTAGTCCCCTGCATGTAATATTTTCTGGTGGTATTTCTCTGGGCAGGTACAAGGGTTGCTACTGAAAAGCCAAATCTGGGCTCCTGAT